ACATAGTTTGGCCAATTGATGTCACTGTAATAGCTTGTCTGTGTTCAGCAGGCTTTTCTTTTCCACATTTCTGAGCCAGCCGCCCTGCCCACATACAGGTGCTGGTCATAAAATTAGAATATCATGAAAAAGTAGATTGATTTCAGTAATTCCATTTAAAAAGTGAAACTTGTATATTATATTCATACATTACATACAAACTCATATATTTCAGATGTTTATTTTGTTTAATTTTGATGATTACAAATGACAACAAATGAAAATCTTAAATTCATCATATCAGAAAATTAGAATATTGTGAAAAGGTTCAAAATTGATGGCCCCTGGTGCCACACTCTAATCAGCTAATTAACTCAAACCACCTGCAAAAGCCTTTAAATGGTCTTTCAGTCTAGTTCTATAGGCTACACAATCATGGGGAAGACTGCTGACTTGACAGTTGTCCAAAAGACGACCATCGACACCTTGCACAAGGAGGGCAAGACACAAAAGGTCATCGCTAAAGAGGCTGGCTGTTCACAGAGCTCAGTGTCCAAGCACATTAATAGAGAGGCGAAGGGAAGGAAAAGATGTGGTCGAAAAAAGTGTACAAGCAAGAGAGATAACCACACCCTGGAGAGGATTGTGAAACAAAACCCATTCAAAAATGTGGGGGAGATTCACAAAGAGTGGACTGCAGCAGGAGTGAGGTCTTCAAGAACCACCACACACAGACGTATGAAAGACATGGGTTTCTGCTGTCGCGTTCCTTGTGTCAAGCCACTCTTGAACCACAGACAGCGTCAGAAGCGTCTTGCCTGGGCTAAAGAGAAACAGGACTGGACTGCTGGTGAGTGGTCCAAAGTCATGTTCTCTGATGAAAGTAAATTTTGCATTTCCTTTGGAAATCAAGGTCCCAGAGTCTGGAGGAAAAGAAGAGAGGCACTTCATCCACGTTGCTTGAAGTCCAGTGTAAAGTTTCCACAGTCAGTGATGGTTTGGGGTGCCATGTCATCTGCTGGTGTTGGTCCATTGTGTTTTCTGAGGTCCAGGGTCAACGCAGCCACATACCAGGAAGTTTTAGAGCACTTCATGCTTCCTGCAGCTGACCAACTTTTTGGAGATGCAGATTTCATTTTCCAACAGGACTTGGCACCTGCACACAGTGCCAAAGCTACCAGTACCTGGTTGAAGGACCATGGTATCCCTGTTCTTAATTGGCCAGCAAACTCTCCTGACCTTAACCCCATAGAAAATCTATGGGGTATTGTGAAGAAGAAGATGCAATACACCAGACCCAACAATTCAGAAGAGCTAAAAGCCACTATTAGAGCAACCTGGGCTATCATAACACCTGAGCAGTGCCACAGACTGATCGACTCCATGCCACGCCGCATTGCTGCAGTAATACAGGCCAAAGGAGGCCCAACTAAATACTGAGTGCTGTACATGCTCATACTTTTCATGTTCATACTTTTCAGTTGGCCAAAATTTCTATAAATCCTTTGTTTTTATTGGTCTTCAGTAATATTCTAATTTTCTGATATGATGAATTTGAGATTTTCATTTGTTGTCATTTGTAATCATCAAAATTAAACAAAATAAACATCTGAAATATATGAGTTTGTATGTAATGTATGAATATAATATACAAGTTTCACTTTTTAAATGGAATTACTGAAATCAATCTACTTTTTCATGATATTCTAATTTTATGACCAGCACCTGTATCTGCTAATCAGTGTGCCTGTCTGTATGAGAAATAATGACCTCCTGTGTGTTTGAGTGAGTGTGTGTTTGAGGCTCAAGGTCAGCCACATTGCACAGACTGCCATCTTTGCAATCTTTCATTTGCTGCTGCAAAAGAAAAGTACAGACTTGAACTGCAGAACAAATAACTTGTCTGCTACCAAGTTTTCTATCCCATGCATCATGCTACCTTTTCCTGTCCTGATCAAAGATAAATCACTCAGACTAGTGCATTGATTGGAAGAGTTTTAAGATAAAACGTTTAAATGGGTGGCTCAGGTTCGTTACGGGGGTTGTGTTAAATAATCTGAGCAGTAAGTATCTTACTTGAATAAAAGAGCCTTATTTGGATCTTAAGCCTCAGCTTATTTTTAAGGGGCATAGATCAGCAACTCTCCAGGATTACATTTCTAACCATTTTACAAACACTTCATAAATAACTTATCTGAACAAAATATGCATATTCCTTTTTTTGGCATGTTTAAGAACTCTGCAGCATTATGGCTTTAACTCTCAAAGGCCATGTGCCATGTAAACCACTGCTACAGTAATTACACAGCTACTTCTCAAATGACCAGGCAACAAACCCAATAAAAGCATTGCTTAATCTCAACACTGCAGAAATGCTTTGTCTTCTCAACCCTGAAGCTAAAACTTGTAATCGGTTTAATCATCAAATAATTATCTTCTCTTGGGTACACTCGTAGATAGAGTTACCAACCATGTTCCATACATATTCGTCTCTTATTGGGCAGTTAAATGTTGCGTCTCGTATTGAACCAATATGGGACTGAGTTGTACCTAATTTAATAAATGTCCAATGCAGTTTGTCTCATACAGAGACACACTTACAATGGATCTCACAATAAATAACAATATGAAAAGCTGGTAAGTCCAGCAAAATTGTCATGGTGGGATCTAAGCAGGATATGCTCAGCTCTGCTTTAGCTGCCATCATAGTTGCCTATGGACAGATTCAAAACACCTGTAGTTTACCTGATCCTTCACCATAACCTCAGAAGGAATCCCTTGTAAAAAATACAGACATAATGGAAAGAGGCCAATTCTGGCTGAGCAGCATCAGTGAGAATGAGAATTAGGAAAACTATAAAATATGTTGGGCTGTCAGGGAGTGTAAGCAGTGGCACACGGTGGGCTGTTCGTGGCTCAGGAGAGAACCACTACAGACAGCATCAGTCCTTCATACTCAAACTATCCCCTTGCAATAAAGTTGTGTTGAATATTGTGATTATTGTTATTGTACTGATTTAAAGACTAAAAGTAAATAGATAATATAAGCAAACAAATATTGTTAAGATAAGGTGTTTTCTGCACATTTGCTAGAGTATACGCATTTTCTGTGTGTTCTGCATACTATAAGTCAAAATCATGTAAAAAAAAAAAAAAAAAAAAACAAAGTTACACACAAAAATTAATGTCATGGAGAATGTAATTGAGTTTGCTGCTTGTATTGTAGCTTTCGAAGAGCCGTTGTTTAACAGAATATAAGGCCTATGTTATACCCCCCCTAGTCCTTGTTTTATTTATTAAACTTGGTAACCCTACTTATAGAGCTTTACATTTCATTTTGATGATATAAAAAAAGGAAAACTCACCTGATGTGAATGAAAACTGTAAATTACATACTTTTTTATCCTAATACACATACACAGTTCAAACCAGAAGTGAATCAAAGGGGACAGATGAAGATACCTTCCACAGTCTGCTTCATTTGCCCAGTTTTAAAATGTAGGTAGAATATTTTTATTTTAACATGAGAAAAACTTCTGTCATAGTTTCTTGCACTGTAGCAAATATTTGCCATGATCAAAAGGAGCGTATATTGTCATTTTTAATAAAATCTGGATTAAATGTTTTCGCCATATGCTTTTAATATTATTTCCATAAAAATAAAAAATAAAACTTGCAAAAATCTGGGATTTTGTCAAAAAAAAAAAAAAAAAAGAAGAAGAAAACATTTACTGTTGACAGAGCCTCAGTTTAAATTCAGATCCGTGCTGGGGGGAAAGCTAAGGGCTAATCAAAAGGGGACAAAGCCAGTGCATATTTTTACTGCATTTAAAAAACCTCTAACCTCATAGTTGTTTATGAAACTTCAGAAGTTTTTCCCTTTATTTACACTGAAAATTATTTAGAAATGTGAGTAGAAGGTTGCCTGCAACTATTAATCTACTGTATATAGACACATGAAATGTTCGCTTGAACTACCCTAATGTCTTTCCTCTTAGGTTTTGTTGTCGGTAATTGTTCTACACAGGAAGAACATTAGGGCCGCATTCCCTCCAACCCCATTTAACATAACTATGGTTTAAGGATTCATTGAATACCATTTGTACTAAAAGTCCATTTAGGTATTTTCCCTTCTGGGACTACTATAGAGTTTCATTCAGGCTTCAGGTACTTAGAGATTCACTTCCAAACAGAAACCCCACATTCATATCTTCAGGTAACACAGAGTACATGTCAGACTTAATATTACTTTAGCGATAGTTTCAAGGTGTTGCTTTATTGTATATCTCGTACCATGTCTTTTGGTTGTGCTGTTCTTTTTTTCATCTCGTTACAGGTGATGAAGCAGTCTGAAAATGTTTTGTCATTGTCTCCTTCCTATCTCCTCTTTCATCTTTTGTCCTTTTTTTTTTCTTTTTCCTTTTTCTTCTGTTTTTCTGCTCTACTTACATTGCAGTGTCCATATGAACTGTAAAACTCCCTGCATAATTATAATAAAGCAATTTATATGCATGAAACAAGTGGATTGGTATGGCAATTGCCATACCGCTACACTTGTGAAAGTAAAATCTGTTGGGCTCCTTTTGGCATCAAGACAATTATTCTTATTGCCACATTGCCAGACAGGACACTGTAGAAAAAAAAAAGAAAAGTTTCATTCTGATCTTGATTTTTTTTCCAAACAGAGATGTCAAGAGTTATAAATCCCTGTTTAGATGTTAACTACCCATAGTATAAAACAGAACCTGACTTAAGAAAATCTGATTATTTTCCTAAGCAATCCATCCATCCATCCATTTTCAGTCACGATTATCCCAAGTGGGGTCGCGATTGGTGCTGGTGCCTATCTCCAGCTGTCAATGGGCGAGAGGCGGGGTACACCCTGGACAGGTCACCAGTATTTTCTTAATAATAAAACATATTTTTAGGAAAACCATCTGACCCCAATATCTGCCAAATGTCTTGTACTGTATGTAAGCATAGTTAAGAAGCCGGTAAATGAAGGAAAGCTCAGTTTTTTGTTTTTTTTTTTAGAAAACACTCTTATTTATTAAATAAATAAATACTGCACTTTTATTACACAATAAGTTATTTAAGACATTGTTACCAAGATGAAAATGGCTCCTAAATGTTGCTTAAAAAAAACCTTGTGTTAAGTCACTCTACATCCTCTCCAGCTCAGAGTGCTGAGCCCATCTGTCAGTAAAGACAGCAATGAACAAATCACAGTTTTTAAAAGTTAGTATAATGTTACACCTCCCCACACACACTCAGACGAACATGCACTCTTTTAAAATCTGCAACAGATAACAGCTATAAAAGTCTTTTCTCTTCATGGCTGGGGTGGCTTAGACATACACTGTACATAATTTACAGTATCTCACAGAGAGCTCTGTTAAAGTTCAAAGCATCATGTTATGCCTCTGGTATCAAACAGATCATTCTATACACATCTAAGCTGGTGCCAGCCCAGCGTTAGTTTTATTACATGCCTGACAGCTCTTTTTGTCTTAGTTCTCCCCCAAAAACATATGGGGTTCACATTCGTACCAACATCCACGTTCCTCTCTTCTCCAACAATACAAATCAGCCCTTTAGTTCCCATCAGCATTCATTGTGCTACATTTCGTATTCCCACGCTCTCATAGTCTCTCCCTCTGCATTATTCTTTCGCCTGCACCGAGGCTGAGTCATGACGGTGCAACGGTGAAGGAATGTTAATTGACTTTGCTCAAGCCCAGCCTTGCAAGTCCGCCTGTTCTCTTCCAGGTTCCCTGTTCCTCTGCAGCACTGCAGTAACACAGTGGGTGTGGATTTTTTTGTTTTTTTTTGGTCCAGAGTAGATTTTTGTAGGTTTAGCTGCATCTCTGCAGGAGCATATTGAGGGAGTACACCAGACGTTGGCGCAGGTCGTTGGGGCAGCCAGATGTGAGCAGTGAACTGAGTTTGAAGGTTTTAGACACTCGTTCTTCGTTGATGTATGTCAGCATGTACTCATCCCTCTGGCAGCACAAGATGATCTTGGTATGATCATGGTAAAAGTTGACCTTTGGATAGAAAAACAGATATTAAAGTATTGAATTTAATTATTTGATCTGTACCTTTGTTTGGGAAAAATGTCATGGCTCGCACCCAAACAGCCTCTCTGAGCATGCGTAGCAACGGCTGTGTTTTCTGCAACAGTGGGTGCGTTTACCTGGAAGGTGCCATCGTTAAAGAGCATCATGAGGGCACGGTCAGACTTCAACCACTGCAGCAGGTAGAGTCTGGGCATGTCTGCATCTGTTGTAGTACCGAGGTCCCCACCCTAGGAAACATAAAAGACAAACATCTTAGGATTAGACAGGCTTCAACTTGAAAGTTTTTGATGTTGCAGGGTGTGGAGATCAATAAAAAAAAGATCAGCAAGTGAGATACACTTTAGCCTGACAAACTGGAAATTTCACTTACATCCATGAGGTTTTCCTCCATGTAGTGGGAAAAATACTTGAGCACAGTAACTTGTCCCACAAAGTGCTCAGGGACCTCGCAAGTGGGAAAAACAGAACGCTGGCCTAACTCAGCATAGTAATGGATGGTCCTAAAAGGAAAAACAGATAAGTTGGTTATAAAACTGACACTGGATAAAAATAGCAAGTTTGTTTTGAAAAATAGGGATTTAATTAGTCAAAAATAACCTAATCCACAAAGTAACTCATTTTGCGGGGGATAAATGTATGCTGTCAGACATAAACTAGACATCTCAAATAAAAGAGATGACCAACCATAACACTATTCCTAAACCTGAGCCACCACATTTAACATCAAAGCTTACATGTTATGATAGTACAACCTATTGCTTACTTTCTATCTGGCAGGAGGCTCATGTGGGTCCCGTTGTTGAAGAGAACTCCTACAGTGTGATCGGACAACTGGTAGCCGAACCCATACTTGTTGGAGTAGTCGACCCATTTAGTGACCCATTGAAGACTGCAGCTGTTTAACGTCTGCGGGGTGTCATTTGCTGCAATGATTAAACACAAGTCAGAATCAGACTACACACATAAGGGTAAGAGGTATTTATGTATTTTAAGATAAGCTAGAAGTCCTAAGAATTGAATTATTCAGTTAATAACTCACCTTTAGGCATGTTCTCGAGACATCCTCTTAACACACTGGCAACTGTCTCAGCCACGCTCCCTGTTGTGTTGTCTTCCAGACCTTAAAAATAAAAGATCAGGAGCCACTTAGATGCATTAGGGGTAAAACACACATTTCCACTCAAGCTGTCACTTTAGATCTCCATCACACATAATCTTCACACTCATGGTGTAACTTACATTCACTGCTGCTGCTACAGCTGCCCAGACTCCCCCTGACGATCAGTCTAATGGTGTCTTGCGTATTCGGTGACTGATTCTCTGTTGCCAAGGCGACGGGGCTCCCGGCAGATGGCGGAAGTAGACTTCCATTCTGAGGTGGGAACGAGTGACGACAGGGCTCAGAATGTGTGAGTTTAGATCATCTATTCCTACTATGACTCAGTGGTCACCCACAGATTTCAAAGTGGATGGCTTTAAAGGTTGAGAATAAAGTGCTTTCAGCTAGTTCAGCAACTGTGCTTGTTAGAAAGTTTTGCTGCAGCCACAGAGGGTGATTCATTGGATTCTCCACAGCAGGTTATCTTAAATACACACAAGTTTTTATTGGTATGTGACTAATACACCTGCAGAAGTAGTCTACCCACTCCCTAAATGCTGTGTATTTTTGCTTTCTTACCTCAGACATCTTTTTGCCATGTTGTTGACTGATGACGGTCCTCTCTAAGTCGTGCTGCAGTTTGTAGATCTCCTCTTCCTCCTTAGTTAACTTGTCTGCAAGTAAACACCAGATGTTAATCCTTGAATCTGCAAAAACAGATTCCTGGAAGGTTGTCGGGTTGAAGTAGTTATTTATAATACTTACTCAAGGTTTCGTAGTATTTGACCTTATCCCTCTTCCCTCCAAATAGCGCTGCAGCAGCTTTCTTAAAGAAGCTCTTTGCAGGACTAGAGACGTGGAAATCTGGTGGCGAATGGCAGCAGCTAGGTGATAGACGCTCTGGACTAAAGCCCTGCAGATAATTGAGTAAAATGGGTCAGTGCGTGGCCGGGTGGTTAGAGTGGGGGAGAGGTACTTCAAACCCCCACACACTGACATTTTCTGAATGAAAGCCAAAGCAATTCAAAACACCAGAGTGGAGGTCTAACCTGGGTGAAGAATTCATGCCTCAGAATGAGGTCAAGATTGGGTCTGTCCTCGGGAATCTTGGCCAGTAGATTGGCAATGAGCTGCTTTGCCTGTGCTGATAGTGAGGAAGGGAGTGAGTAACGTGCCTCTCTGATACACCGGTAAGTCTCCTTCAGGTTGGTGGTTTCAAATGGAGGTCGACCCAGGAGCATAGTATACCTGTAACATTATACAAGCAATGTATGTTTAAAATATATTCTTTATTTTCAAAAGTAGTTTACTAGTGAATTAGGACTCATGTATGAAATTAACTCACATTACACAGCCCAGAGCCCAGATATCCGATTCACAGCCATGACCTTGCTTGTTGAGGACCTCAGGGGACAGGTAATTTGGAGTCCCGCAGATCGTCTTCCTCCTGTTTCCAGCCGGCTCCAACTTGGCAGCCAGACCAAAGTCTCCGACCTTCAGTTCCATTGACTCGCTCACAAAAAAGTTCCCTTTAGGGTCAGAAAGGCAACATAAGCACTTGATAGACAACCTGATACCCAAAGCATAGGACTATGTTAAAGTAGGTTGGTTTCAAGAAATCACATACATATCCACAGAACAGCAAACATATGCAAATCAATCATGCAGAAGTATTTCTTACCCAATTTAAGGTCCCTGTGAAGGATTTCTTGTTCATGCAGGTACTTTAGTCCAGAAACAATCTGTCTCAGGTAATACCGGACTTCAGGCTCAGTAAGAACTTTTCGAGCCTTCAGAATGTGAGCTAAAGACTATAAAGACACAGAACAGAAAATATATCCATCATTACACCTTTACTCTAAAAAATCATGCACTTATGTTTTGCATCTTAGATGTTAGAGGGAGATCATTAAATAAGTGCCAGTGATTTCTTATAATGATAACACTCACTTTTCTACTGCAGTATTCCAGCAAGATGTAAATGTTCTCTTTGTCCTCAAAATGGTGATAAAAATGCACGATGTTTTTATGGTGCAGCAATTTGTGCAATTCAATTTCTCGGTCGATCTGCAAGCAGAGGAACGACACAAGGATTAGGTCTGTATCCAGAATGTCAGTGATAATTGGCCCATTGATGCACGCAGACACCGCCGCAGCGGGCTTACCTTCTCCCGCTGGTGAGGCTTGGAGACGCGCGCGTGCGGGATGATCTTTGCTGCGTAAACTTTACCGGTGGAGAGGTCCGTCATCTCATAACATTTAGCAAATCCTCCCTGGATGAAAGAGGGGGAACAACAGTGTTACAAACACCGTGCCTTCGGGACGAGAAGTAAATTCCGAAGAGTGGAAGGAGATATTGGGAGCTGTGCGCTACCTTTCCCAAAACTTTCCCTCGGCAGTAGCACTTCCCAGTGGCCGGGTCGGTGATGATCCGAGCCATCTCCGATGGCGCGCTGCGCTCATCTGTTCTTTTGCGCCGAGGCTCGCAGGACCTCTGCGTTGATTCACACATGCTGCTGCTGTTAGTCTGCTGGAGGACGGTGTTTTTATGTACTTCCATCAGATGGTTTGTTTTCTCTCCGCATACAGAATGCGCCCCAGAGAGGCGCTCTGGAAGCTTTTATAGCCCCGGTCCCTCCCTGTCTCCTCCTTCCTCCCTCCCACCGTGCCTCCCTACCTCTCTAACGTCACTAGAAAACGGGAGCAGTGGTCTGGCTGCTATCGATCACTGAACATATAGAGATAATGCTTTGATGGTGACACAGAAATTAGATGAGAATTAATAAAAATGAGTTGCTGTCACCTGTTTATTTTCATTTTAAACATCATAATCTACATTAGTTATTAACAAACATGTTCATCAAACCAATAAACAACAAACAAAAAAGCGTAAATTGAAAATTTTCATGGGTTCTTATAAAAAGTTTGTTTAATGCAACAAGACAAAGGGGACCTGTGCAGAACAGAAGCACTCTGCATTCTGTGCAGCATCCCAGGCTGCTGAGCTGTTTGGAGCTGTAGCGCCCTCAGGTGGAGGTGTTTGAAAGCGGTCATTGTTTTAAATTGGAAACGAGAAGTAAAAGTCTCTTGTCTGGTTGGAATACATTTAGCAACAAGTAACCCTTTTGTTCTCAAAGTCAATGTGTTAGAAGGAGGAAGGGATGCACAAGAGTTTCAGCAACATTCACAAGCTGTCCAGAGGTGCTTATAGTAATCACCATCTAACAAAACTGATCAAATGAAGGAACACTAGTGATCCAACATAAGATCAGACAATGGCCACATAATCTGATTCTGGTTCTGACAGAAATGTGTTAGAAGACAACACACTCCAGTTTACTGTGTGTACAAACCAAATCCCATAAAAAATTGGCTGAGTTTGAATCACAAAGGGCTCACTTCCACTCTGATCTTCTAAAAACTTCTTAAGAGACCTTTGGGGATCTTGTGGAGTCCATGTACTGACTGGTCAGAGGCGCTTTTTCTGAAGAAAATTGTCAAAAAACAATTATGTCCATCATTTACTGTAGCTTATAGGTGTAGAATACATCAGCTGGACTTAGTGTGTCCTTTTGCATACATGCACCAATGAGCTACATGCTGTACATACAGTGGCACACCTTATACATCTCTTCATTACGCTTATTTTTTAATCAACATTAAGTAGCCCTCCTTAAAACCTACCCCCCCCACCCCCCCCTACCCGTTCTTCAGCAGCAGCCCTGTTGCCCCTCATTATCCATCTGATAACCTCACTTAATCTCCCTCCCATTTGATGAGGTTGTCCTCCTCCATCCGCTCCAACGTATTTTTCAGTTCTTTCAGCACCATGGTCAGCACATCATTCAGCGATGCTGCTCCTCAGATCAGGAACCCTCACCAACCAGACATCTATATTATTAACTCTGTTTAACTCAAGACTTAAAACTCACCCGTTCAAGTAATTATACTCTGTATTTTATTGCACTTAATTTGTTTTCATTCAATTTAATGTACAGTTGTATTTGTGACTTAGAAGGCAATTATAAATTAAACATTATTATCAAATTTTGCATTTTTAAATCAATATTTTTGTAGTGTTAATATCATAATTAATAGTTCTTATAAATACTTAACAGATATATATTATGAAAGTGCAAATACCGAATAGCTGTATGTGCTCTCATCATTACAGACATCCTTATGTTAGGTCACATCTCACACTCTTTAAAGCATCATTATTCAGGGTTCTTCATTCCTCTTTCAGAAAACAGTTGGGCAAAGATGATTTAGTTCAGGGCTGAAAAGAGACTGAGACTTATTTCATGACAGTCTTCTGTGAGATTTTCAAGTGGGAGCGCACAGTACTGATATCATAAGCAAAGGTCTGTTCTAGTCCAAAGCCAACAGCTGATTTCTGAGGCCAGTTGGGGAAAGGAAAACGGCAAGAAATGACCAGCGCATCCTGAGGAAGCTCTTTCAGCAGCTTCTCTCCCAGCAGCTCCATCTGTCCACAAGAATAATAAGAGATGCACAAAAGTCAGAAGGCAATATGAAAGGAGATGGTTGTTAATAGGAATACTGCTTACCACTCCTGGAGCAAGGAAAGCTGTCACATTGTTGTATGAAGACAGATCCGTCTAAGACAGAAGAATAAAACACTAAGGACGGTGATAACATAGTTTGTAAAAACTCACAGTATTTGATCAGATTACAATCACAAAGTTAATGTATTTTATTAGAGTTTCATTTGACAGACCCACACAAATTGTGAAGCGGGAGGAAAAAGCTACATGGTTTTCCACTTTTCTCTTGAAAACCAACCTCCACACCAGGCTCTTACATGTCCTGTTCAAATACTGTCCTTTACTCAGTTCCATATGGCCTACAATTAACTCACACCAGACCATTTGGTCAATCTGACAAGAACACCTCCTTTCGAATGTAGTTCGCTTCTCAAAGCATAGGGAGATATCTTGTTCAGACCTTACCTTCCAGAAGTCGTTTTTCACAAAGGTTGCCTGGGTTAAGGGGATTCCTCTCAAGCGGGCCTTGCTCCTCGCATACGCCACTAAAATTGAATTGATCTCAAACCCTGTGCACTGAAAACCAGCAGAGGAGGCTGCAAATACCTGGCAAAAACACAGCACAGCATGAAAATCCCACCTTATCAAGTAGGGCAGCAAATACAGCACCCACTATGTTTACAAATACACATTTGGTAAAAGACTTATTTTATAGGAAAGGTTCTCTTCACTCACCAATCTTCCATCTCCAGCTCCCAAATCTGCTAGGCGACCTCTTCTCCCCTCAAGCAGCTTCATAACATTTTGTGTCTGAGCTTTACTGGAGGGCAAATAAGGAACCTGAGCCACAGTGGGCACAGCATACGGTGAGTCAACACTATTGAGCTGTAATTACTGTAAATATCACCTTGCTCTTACAGTGGCAAATAAAAGAAAGAACAAGCAAGAATATGAGACTACCACTTTGGAGTAAATAACTTCTACAGAGCTAAAGAATTGCACCCTGTTTGTTTAAATCATCCCAGTGTGAAAACAAACTATTAACATACAAAATTCTGTTTTGTTTTTTTCTTTTATATAATTTCTTCTTCAGCTTTCAGTAGGCTTTGTATTATTGTCAGCCATGGCTCAGATTTTTTTCCATGCAAGTAAAAAAAACAAAAAAAAAACTGTCATGTCAAAAACAAAAGCAACTCTGCCACAAAGTTGTAGACCACTTAAAATCAGTGGGCTGAGAAGCATAGTGAGAGGAAGTCACTGATTTTCTGAAGAGTTAATGGCTACAGACATCCAAACTTTATGTGGGCTGCAGATAAGCTCAAGAACGTTGCATTGGGGGCTTTGTTGTATGGCTTCACATGGTGGAGTAGCTGCAGCTATGCTTTAAATCACCAAATATGTGAATAGAATAGTCATACCACTACCTCACCGTTGTTCCTTACCTACTACACTTTAACATAAAAGTAAATCCACCTGTATATAAGCCATCCTGATTGTACATATGTCACCTCAAACCTCTGTGCTACTACCTTGTATTTTTTTTTATTTTGTATTTCTTATTTTTATTTTGTTTTTCATTGTATGCGATACATGTAGACTTGCACCTTAACCCTTATTTATCTTGATATACTGTATATACCTGGATATACTGCATATATATTGTTTATTCTTAATGCACCTTTTTCCTACTTGTTTGCACCTTCTTTAATTACTATGCCAATATGTGACAAGTGAATTTCTCCGCTGTGAGATCAATAAGCTCATCTAATCTAATCTAAATGAAATCAAATAATTTGATGTAGTTGATTAGAGCACTGCACCACTGGACTCTAGAGAAGCGGAGATGTTCTCTGAAATGACAGATAATACCTCTCTGAATGACAGTCAAATCGACCAGTCTGGATATGGCACTAACCTTTTCTTTTGCAGTATGTTTAGTGTAAAATTTGGTGCAGACTGCATTATGCTGTCAGCAAAATAGTTATAAAGAACCCTAAATGCAACTCAGAACTGTGTGGAAACAGTTTGGTGATGACCCCATCCTATTTTAATAAGGAAATTGATTAATCAATTTAATGTGAAGGAACTTGACCCGAGTGCTAAAAAATCCCAACATTAAGTTTACGTGACCAGAATGTAGGAGGATTAAAGCATTAGCCAGACCTTCTCATCATCAAATAAAGATTAGTGTCTGACCTCACAGGTGTGAGGAACCTTCAAAAATTTGGTAAACACACAATCTAAGCTAACTTTCAAGAAGAGCTTAAAGTGTTATAGCTATAAAAGATCACTCAAGTTCATCTGTGTGTAATGGTAGATGCATCTTTTAGAAATAAAGTGTAGCTGGGAAGATGGGAACCAAGAAAACATCTCAAAGAAAATAAAAACAAATGAGTAGTGAGACATTATGTATTGTAAATCCCTTTATTGTCCCATAATGGGGAAATTTATCTTTGCATTTAACCCATCCCCTTGGGCAGCAGTGGGCTGCCATTATGTGATGCCCAGGGAGCAGTGTGGGGTTAAGGGTCTTGATCAGGGACCCAGACTGCAGGCTGTGGGGATTGAACCTTCTCAGAGAACAAGCACCCTGCTCTAACCACTAGGCAAACAGTCCCCAATATGATTATGTTGTTGCTCTGGCTGTAGATGGAGTCACTGTTATACTGGGAGCTGACCAAGCACCAGTCTCTTCTGCAGCCTCAAACTGATTATTTTTTGAGTTGATCTTTAATTTGTCCTCCCACATATTATTTTAAACTCCGATTTGCATCCTTTTTTCCTTTTTTATTAAGTTTTTCAGATGAATGCTTCCTAAGTGTTGGTGCAGTTACCCTATCAGAGATAATAATTGTAGTTAAAGACTTACCAGCTTCTTCTTTTCCCACATATGATGCTAGCATGGAGAACTGCGCTCCAAAGTAAGCAAATTATTATTAATCAACAAGTCAGTATGTATCTTGGCTTAATTTTTGTTCTTATCATTTCAAGCTTACATGGTTTAATCATTTAAAGCAGAGGTCTTCAACATGCAACACCCACCCATTAGCCCCCAATTGGCTTGGACACTATAATGTGGCTTGGTATCTATCCTCACCACCCATTTATATTGTAAGCAGCTTACTCCCATACCCAACTGACATATAAGGGGTGTCCATGCACAGACTTTTTACCATCGGAAAAGGTTGTAGACCCCTGGTTTAAAGGGAAAATCAAGAATTGAAAACGATATGTTGTACCTTAAGGCTCCATGGGATTTTGCGAAAGCCAGGCATGGTGAAGACGCTCCATAATCCATACAGGCCTGTGAGCAAAGCGCCAGTACAGGCAGATACAATGGGGTGTGATCTGTTGGTGGGAAAACCCCCAGTGAAGTCCTGAAGGATCAGTTCAATTGAATCTTCCATTTCAATAACTGCGAGAACACCTGTATTAAAAGCAAAAAGGTCTTTTTTAAACACTTAATAAATAGAGTTTTTAAAACCAAACATGCATAATGAGCTTCTTCTTGCTCTGTCCTTTGACTGAATTGTCAAACTGTACTGTCTTTTCTAATTTTTACTCTAGAAATATGTAGGAGAAAATTCCATTAAACTGTTTTGGGATTTTTTGTTATTTATTCTATATTTATTTTGCTGTACATTGTCACATATGGAGTTTCTTTCCTTTTCATATGATTTTTTCCTGTGTCTACCTTCTTGCTTTGTCTAATGCACCTAAATTTCCACCACTGACGCAAAGCATGGGGCTATTCTATTCTATTCTATTCTATTCTATTCTATTCTATTCTATTCTATTCATTTATTCTAACCAAAGCAAACATCTTTAAAGTTCTCAGTGCTTTTACCAATTCTGGCGATGTAATGGATGAAGGTTATGAGAAGCTGTGGTTCACACCACTTGCAGGACTTTGCAGGGATAGGTCAGTTCTCGAACAGCTCCAAAATCAAGCTGTGACAAAAAAACAAAAACAACTCAAGGCTGTTCGTTTTTTTTTGACACCATTCCCACATCCATGTTAGTAACTAATAGCTGCTTGTGTAACATACAGAGTTTATATATCTTCTCATCTATTTGTTTTGATTAAATAAATTAGGACAACATTCTTGGTTTCTCTGGCAGATGTTAGTAGGGTTTGCTTCCCTGCATCATGATTCATCAATCTGGTCCGTTCCTAAAAAAAAAAAAAAAATACAAATACAATCTCCCCAACCTTGCACACACAGACAAGATACTTTTTTTGGGGGGTAGAGATTGCCCAGTACACTAAAAATGGTTAAATGTTGGACACATTGGAGTCTGATTTGAATAAAAGGGTAAAGGATAGTCATTTCCCACTCAAACCCCATTCAAAGGTTCAATATTTTGGACATACAGAAATAGAAAATAAATAACATTTAGAAACCCTCCAAATCTTGTTTTGTCCTAGCAAAGCATGCTTCTTTCCTCCATCCTATCAATGACATCAACGTCCATTTTAGCAGTTGCAAAATTCTACTCAAAATATTTTATTTCAATTTTTTTATTACTTAATCTTCAATTTTTTACTTGTGATAATATACACAGATATATTAGTGTTTTGGGGTGAATAATATATTGTATATGTTACCAGGCTTTTATGAATACACATTTTGAATTTCACAGGGAGTTTAAAAAGACAGAATAAAAAGTATATTACAGATTAAAAGTCTTTACCTTTTGTTTCTGCTTTTGCAATAGTAGGCATAATTATTCTAAGAACAATGATCTGAAGTACAAATCTGGCACAGAACAGCTAGAAAATGGGCAGACCAAGTCTCAAATTGGCTTTAATTGAATATTGACCTAGATCATTTTGAAACTTTCTGAAGAATTTCAAAGATAACTGTCTTTTCAAAGGGGACAAGTATGTCTTTGGAAGTTTGGCAGTTTTACCACACTCTACATGTTTGGACTTAATTAAACATGAATGTTGAGATGTTCAAAGCTTGGTTTAGTGCTTTATAACCATACAATGCTGTAAACCTCTACACAAGTCCTGATCAATGATAATTTGTCCCTTAATCTTCTTTATGATAGTAGATCTGTAATGTTTTTCTAATGAACCTCTGAAGCATTTAGAGTAAACTGAGTTTAAATTAAACACAAAGAGTACCTACTCCTTGAATCACTACTCATGTTGGTTGAATTTAATGTATCCAAATGTTCGCTTTTTTCATAAAAAGATTACAAATGTTTTTCTATTCCTAATTTAATAAAAAAAACAATATTCACCACTTTGTTAACTGCTACATTAAAATATATTGTTGTAGTGTCACTGTATGAACACGTTTAAGCAACCCAAGTCATTTTGTATGTACTGTACTTTATAATTGTACATATTTATTGACCATCTTTACTACAGTTAAATGTCAGCAGTGTGGGGAGAATTTCTATCCTATGACAACATACAGAGCAGCAAACAGCAGATGGAGCTATGGCGACCTATTGTGCCCCTGGAAACCTTCTAGAAAGGTTTGGTTTAAAACGCTTTGGGTTAGAAACAACACTAAACATCAACTCCTGTCCTTGAAAATGTGTTAAGGCTTAACAGAGAAAATAGCTAAAATGATTCTTTCACCTTCCTCCATAGGAATTTTGTAAACAATTAGGTTCAGGGTCTCAAATCGTAGTCAGTGCTGAATAAAATACTAAAAATATCATATAAAAAGAGATTCTACACAGAAGTGGTGTCATATGCAAGCAGATATTTGCAAAAATCTAGCACAAAATACATGAAAGTGTGGAGAAACACGCATGTGAGCTGCCTACCTGCCCCGCCCCTTACTGAGTTGCTGCGCAGTCTGCACTTTACGCACACGGATCATCCAAAGTCCACTCAGCGCCAAGGATCCCGCCCTCTGACAGCTATAACAGGCCCTATCAGAAGTCTGATAGGACCAAGTGAATCATACTGTAATAAATGATAAACTATATATATTCAAACTTCATTCTGCAGTTACATAATGTCTGTTGTATTGTAATTCTTGAAAGTATCAAAGTTTATGCAGTAATTTGTAGTCCTTCTGTCTAGGACACTTCAGGTTTTTTATCTATTAAATGACAGCTAAGCATGACCACCATTTATTGCCATGTGCGAGTACAATTTTAATGCAAAGCATCTGCTTTTGTTTATCTATTGTGGAGCCCATAATATTAATATTCATCAGCACTCTGGCCCCTCTTGTTTAGGCCTACTCGGCTCCTCTGAAGCCGGGCTGCATGGGCTTCAGGGGCGTTGGCAGGTCTGGAAAACACAGTGAGTGACGCAAAGAAGGAGAGCCTATTATATTTGCTTCCTGGAAGAAAAAGAAAAAAATCCTGGCCAGCTAGGAGATTATCTATTTTGTAGAGAATTAAAAGACCAATAGGCGGGATATTGCTGAGGATCCAATGGAGCTCTATGGGAAGGTAAGACAGATAGATTTGAGAAATTACAAAATGTAAATGTGGAAAAGCACCATCAAACGGAGTGTGCTTTCGATAAGATGAAAGGATGTGTTCTAGATTAAATAATAAATCCAGAGAAGCTGTAGGCGCTCCACACAGCGCATTTCAAACTGTGGAAATAAAACTACAAAGCCCTGCTTCTTCTTTGTCCCCGTGACGTAGATGATACCCATGACGCGCGCTTCCTTTTGCCTAGGCGAGCCAGATTCATCATCATCTTCATCATCACCACCATCAGCAGCAGCCGAAGCCCGCAGATCGGAAGCGGAGGGGACAGCTCCAAGGTGCTGAAACTGGTTCGGAGATAGAGAGGGGAAGAAAAAAGCAACATAAGATCAGCGTCTGCGGTATAGGTTCAGATTAATTAACGTCTCTCCTGCTTATCAGGGGCAAATACAGGTCGAAACGAGGCCTTCGAAACAGGTTTGTTCGTATAATGTCCTTTTAGTTTCACACATGTGGGAGATTTTTTGTGTAAAGATATAATCGTTATCAGCTGCTCAGAACCGGTCTTCCATATACAGTTAACTGACATGTAGCGTTTTAGCTCAGTGGCGTTGGGTTGCATTTTTTATTTTTTTTTTTTGCAGAACCGGCTCATTACGGCGTGAAACCGGTGTCCTTGCAAATACAGACACACACACGGAAGCTAACTAAAGCAGGACGTTGCATGATGGAGGTCCTGCATCTTTTCTTCAGTGCAAGGCTGCAGGGAGAGATGATTGCACATGTTCAGGGACAGAAGCAAGCAATCACCTTGGAGAGAGCGACGACCGTTTTCCTGCCATCTACTCAGTGTTACTGGTTTCCCCTGACTTCTCTATTTCATGCTGACTGCTGACAGCATGAAACAGAGAAGCTTTTATAAGCGTTTGATCTTCCAGTACTCTTTGTACATTTATGAGCGACTCAGATATGAGAGCAGATATGATTACTGATCCTATGAAGTACACAAGCAAACTGATTTCTGTTTACTCTCTTATAGACAAAACTATAGGCATGTTTACTGATCTATTTTAGTGAACAGTTTTACCTTCAACAAATAAGTCTGTAAAGTGATCAAACTGAAAAACACAATTTTGTTTGTGTTTTATCATGTTGTAAAGCTGTTATCAATATAATATCCATGGAATTAAATCTATATTAGAAGATATATGTCTAAAGAGACCTTTGCGAAGTTTGTCGCTATTTTCTCAGCTATACAACTTTTGTTATTTTGTTTATGCTGCCATAGACTGCTCACTAAAAAATGATGTTAGGTTAACACCAACAAGGCTCCGTTAGTCATATGCTTACCAGTTTCTAAAATCTGATTACCCTCCTAAGTAGGTAAATCCTGACTCATTGCTAACATAATTTTGCTCTTCTTATTTGTCTTCCGTGACAAAAGGAAAGAAAATGAAAAAAAAAAAGAAATAGCTGGCAGGATATACTTTAAATGAGAAGGATCACTTCATTAGATTAAGCTGAATAAAAAGTGCTTAAATCTATTCTATAAAGATGGTTTTATCAACCTAGACAACTTGAAGCTAGGACTGACTGTTCTTCATCCAGCTGCCCCATAGTTAAGACTTAGTTTGACTTAAACATTAGCCCTGTCTCTGTATTATACACAAACTGCTGTTCCAAAGGAGAAACATTTTACCCACAAATATTTTTACTGACCTTATCTTTTACAAATTTATACATTTATCTACAAAATAGACAGATAAATATTAAACTTTTGCTGGAAGGCAGCTTTTTGGCCCAAATAAAGTACATTATGCTAAAATGTATCTATTGTTTAACACAGTGTAAACAAACATTTGTTTTGATTAAGTTCAAATAATTATGATAACTAATATTAATTGCATTAAGTTCATTTTGTGGATTTCATTGAGATTTATATTGCCTTCTCATTAATAACATTAAAAACAACAGTTTAGCTTAATTTTAGAAATGATCCTATGGTGGAAATAGCTTGTTATCTAATACTCATTAAACCAACAGCTTGCTGTGATGGTCATGCTGGTTTGCCTGACGCAGCCTTCTGTCATCTCTGATCTGTATCCTGTAAAACGGGCTTAATGTACTCAGCACCCAATATCTAGCCTTTATAGCTTTCCTCTTTCATTTACAGCAGTTCTACACCAAATGGTTATTGTTCACTTTATGAACTTATGAAATAAGAATAAACTTATTTCAGAAGTATCAGCTTTGCCCATAAAAATTGTTCTACCTTATATTAAGTTTTCCTTCCTATTTATTTTTGCTTTGGCAGATGGCTGCCACTCAGGATGTCAAGGGGAAAGGGGAGGGAGGAGACCAAAATTTCGACTATATGTTCAAACTACTCATCATTGGCAACAGCAGCGTGGGAAAAACATCCTTCCTTTTCCGCTATGCCGATGACGCCTTCACGTCCGCCTTTGTCAGCACGGTGGGCATTGACTTCAAAGTTAAGACCGTGTACAAGAATGACAAGAGGATCAAACTGCAGATCTGGGTATGAAATATTCACAAGCACAGACATTAAACATGTATAGTTTGAATTAAACATTCAGCGGCCGCAAAATGCTTTAAAGCAAATTTTTGCCTGGCCTGCAGTATTTTGATTGGCTAAGAAACTGCAAAGGCAATACGTCGAACTTGTTAAACACACTGCTTAAGAGTTTCCTTTTATTATGCCATTAGTCATTTTGAGACCGTTTATCTGTTGTAATTTTAAAGATATCAGGGATTACAAGGGATCTTCTAAAGCTATAAATCCCTTTTAATGTGAGATTATTTTGTGTGAAATTCAACTGAACTGAATTGTCATAGTTGATCTCATCAGCCATGGATTTCTTAGTTTTATTTTTTCATTCTTTATCTAAGGCCAGAAATTTTCTGGAGGTTATATATGATCATATGAATGTCCGAGACATAATGGATTCTATAAAAACATCCAAAGCAATATACATATATATCTGGGGTCATTAAACATAATCTTTAATAATTACAGAAATTATTTAAAAATAGGTATTCGAAAAGCTTTACTCTCAAAATTGATTAACAGGCAGGATGGAACATGTAGGAAAGGTGCTAGAGGCTGTTAACAAGACAGAAAAAGCTGTAGGAATGTTTGTGTTAATACTGGGTTGTATTCTATAAGTGAAAACAAACTCTTTATGTGTGAATGTTGATGATCAGGTTTGTAAAACTACTTCTTTTTTAAAGGAGAACATCTGTACCTTGCTAAAACTTCCCCAAACCCTACAGGATGTGTTTAGACTTTGAGCAATAATTCCAAAAGAATTGCTGTGTACAGAAATAACACCCCACAATAGCTTAAAACTGCTACAATCACAGAAAAACATGGGACTGGAAGCATAATGGTCTGGGCTTACCTTACTTCCATAGATAGAATTTGGGGTTTTAACAAGCTTTAACAGGGTTTAATTATAAGCAGTCAGCCCTGAGCTAAAATCTTTACAGTAGGTGTTGCTAGAAAGATGAGTATAAAGAGGGATTTAAATTTTCAGTATCACAGTGAGAAAACCTAAAAATGTAAAACTACAAGCACATCAAAGACCAAAGTCAAGTTATTGAAGTTCTTCAAACAAAAGCCGCAAATCAGAAATGCACTCAAATAGCAATAGATTAGGAGAAATTTTCTTTCTATTTAGAGCAAATATTTGCATTACACGATATGGGGTACTGCAGAGTTCTTGGACTGCATAAATATTCTTAACACTGTATTAGTTTGAGGGTGTGCAGAATAATGCAAGCAGACTAGTCATCTATTTTGTTGTCCACATCTCTTTAAAATCTTGTTTAGTTGAACCATACAAGTAATTCATCCTATTTAAAGAGGGAATAAACTATTTACCTTGTCATCATTTTAAATCTGATATTTCAAGATTCAATGTATTTTTTAATCTCATAGTCTCCAAGTTCTCTTGAAGATGAGGTCCCTTTGCTTTGCTCCTATAATGTGATCTCCATCACTGAGAGGCTGCTGTTCTATATAAAGAGTCTATTTGGTCCATTCTTTTTTTTTTTTTTTTTTTTTTTTACCATTTTTTGCTTAGATATTTCACAGGTGACCTATATATCTAGGAGCAACAATAAGAACAGCACAGCTGTTGAGAATTAATACAGTTCATGTCAGTGTTTTGACTAATTGGACAAATTAAGATTTGTGCAAAAAATATGACTATGGATCTTTTCACAGCTAAAACATTTATATTCTGCACATTAACTTTAAATCATCTTATAATGGGCTAATGTTAAGGAGCTAGAATGAATTTCTATTTTGCCCTTGAAAAACTGTTGTAAAATCTCAAATAAGAGCCGAATCAGTACTGTTTGTTATTCAATCTAATATTTCATTGAATTAGCATAATCAATGATTTATTTCCTTTATAAAAAAAAATTGGTAAACAACTTCATTGTGCTTCCTTGCACTCTGATCTAAGTGTGGAGGCAGATGGAAATTTCAGCATAATTGACAGCAGAGTAGTAAGTGTTAAAGTTTCACACAGAACGCAGAAGCAACACCTTTCTCAGAAAGTGTGCGAAACCAGAGTTTGGAATGGTTTAATTGGGAGTTCATCTGAGCTACAGAAGCAGATTATCTCCCTTTACCCAGAGACTAAATGCAACATATATATAAATATATATATATATAAAAAAAAAAAAAAAATATATATATATATATATATATATATATATATATATATATATATATATATATATATATATATATATATATATATATATATATATATATATATATATATATATAAAAGAGCAAAACCATAAAACCTTCTTTATGGTTTTGCTCTTTTTTCTAACCCTTTGCAGCAATTATCCATCCTCAAAAAACATATTGTCTGACCATGAAAAGGAAGGCTAATCAGTATAATGTGTTTTTATCAGCAGCAAGACAAGCATATTCTGAGACAAAAAGCATAGCCCTTTGCATCCAGAAAATGCTGTGCCTGTTTTAATCAGTGGAAAAAGAGCTGAGGGATAGAGTAGAATAAGCCTTTTAAGAAGATGGGAATTGGCTAAAGTCTTTGTGGTTGTCATACCTCATAATACATGGGAGGTTCACTTTAAATGTGTGAGGTTGTGATGAATAAAACAGATTGATGGAAATAGCATTAGAAACAGATACATTCAGAACAAGCAGGTTTTTGCGTCCAGTGATTTTCTGCTTGCTGCCTTCCTGCTTTAAGATGTCAGCTGCTTTCCTGATTTCTGCTGACCATTAGACACCAAGCAAAGCTATTTAAAGTGCTCAACTTTCCTGGACTGAAGCAGATTATTTTTCTGTTACACTGTTTTTTTTTAACTTTATTCAGAAAAAGAAGAAGAGTAAAGGTTCTTGGGTCATGTTTAAATGTTCCATTTTTTCTCTTAACTGTATCCATAGGCTCCTTGTCCTGCTAAAATGGGGCTTTGGCCAGTATGGCTTTTGGAGCCTCTAACACATATTTTTCCAGGGTTGCTCTGTATTTAGCTAACTCTATCCTTCCATCAACTCTGATCAGCTTCCTGTCTGTGCTGACATAAAAACAGCACCCTAGCATTATGTTGCCACCACCAAATTTCACAGTACAGGTTTCACAAGCATCCAAAGGGAGAAATACTGTAGTGGTATTTTTCTGCCAGAAAGATTTTCTTGCATGAAGTTGAAACAGTTTTGTCTCCTCACATGTTTACCATGCCACCTACATGGATTTTAGCCAACTAAAAACACATGTTTCTAGAGCTCTCTTTCAACAGGGACTTTCTCTCACCACTTTTCTTTGAAGGCCATCTATGTGGAGGACATGACCAAATAATTTGCTAAACAATGTTCCCTAAGGTTTTTTGCAAGAAATTCAGAGTAACCATAATTCATCTTGGATAAAACACCAAACAGTGTTTTTAGATGTTTAGAACTTGTGAAATTATAATATAACCAGACTTGCTTTATATGTCCATAACACTCCTTCTGGCCGTTCTAGCACATTTCTTGTTTTTTATTATGCTTTTAGCTTGAACAACCCTTACTGAAAAAATGCTTTCTATACTCATACTAAATTGCTCACAAGGTTTTAACTTTTGAAGCCCATTAGCTACACGGGGTTTTGTTTAGGAGCTGAGTTAAGCTGATTAATGAGCTGAAATCAAATATATATTGCACTTTTCAGACTTGTGTTACTTTGTTTTGGTCTAAATATATTGAAGTGTGTTAATAACATGAAACAGTTAGAATAAAGTCCTTTTTAAATCACTATATGCTGTATAGAACTTTAGTGTACATTATAGGCTGGGTGCTGGTTTTGATCTAAATTGACACAAAGTCTCAGCTGCAGTGAGGGACATGGAAACAGGGCTGGCCGGCTGTGAGCTGCGTCTCTGCGGTGTGTAGGTCAGATGTGTCCTCTGGCTATAACAGGCCCACTGTTGCGACCGTGTGCAGGCAAACAGAACGCCAGATTACCGCAGCAAACACAATCCAGAGCTGCCTGTTTGCTGTCTGTTCATAAGGAGCCAAGTAGAGCAGCCAGAAATCCTCTGCCTTGATTCACAGACAGCCTGGAAACCAACTTGTTGTGGGTGTAAGAACAAGCATGAGTATCAGCATGAGAAATTGAAGAGATTTTGAATTATGTAATCCACAATACAACAACTCAACTGTGCTGTGATAAGAACTGTACAATTTCCCAGCTGTAGATACACTTATTTACTTTCTTAACCTCTTTTGACTGTGACACATTAATGTACACAAACTCACTTATTTAATCGACTAGTCTTATTTCTATATATTAGACGTCTTTAAAACAAATGTACGTCATGGTTTCTGTATCAGTGAAGCTTCAACACAGATGATGGATTATTTTATTCAGAAAAAGAACAAATCAACATCTCCAGCTGGTGATGCTCTATGCACCTCATCATTGCAAAGCCAGACAAGCTATTAATATCATGATTAGTTCTAGCTAGCAGGCATAAATGAAGAGGAAGCTTTAAAAAGATGGCAGCTATGGCTACATCAAGCAGGTCAGGTTTTATCTGTATTAATAGCAGCGCATTAATAATGTAAATGCTGGTTCATGGACACTGTGTTCCTGTGTGTGCAGCCTTTTCTGTACAAGGCTGGATCAGTGATACCTAATAATGATGTCTGTGTGTAGGACACTGCAGGCCAGGAGCGCTATAGGACCATCACTACAGCTTACTATCGTGGAGCCATGGGTTTCATCCTGATGTATGACATTACCAATGAGGAATCCTTCGGCGCTGTGCAGGACTGGTAAGTTAGTTGTTATGATTTATATCAGTGAATTCTCTGAATATAGTTTACCAAAAGCAGTAGATTTAAGTTTTTATGTAATGTGTTTTTTTTTTATCTTAGAGGAGTCATTTTTATCTGCTAATAAATACTTTCCATGTGAGATCTGACAGACTCTCTCTACAGATGGCATATCTTGGTGGTTAAGTTCAAATTTCATGTCCTTTCATGAATCAGCAAAGCCTTTTCAGGCTATAACTAAGCTGAGCCAAAAGCTGTTCTTTCTGATGATGCAATCAGGACTTGGATGGTACCATTCAACCAGTCAGAGAAACTAGGTTTCTGGGTTAGTGTTCTTACACTAAAAAAGAAACTGAAGGATGCCAGAGACAGCATGTGTCCCAATGTTTATTAATCGAGTGTCAAATGCATTTATATCTATTTGGAAAACTGAACTGGTTTGTCAGCTCAGAGTTGGCATTTTTAGAGGAAATTATGTCATTCAGCTTATGCTTAAGATAAGATAAGATTATATCATCTAACATAGAGGGCAATTAATTTGTAGTTTACCTGCGTTATCTTCAAAGCTAATTTGTGGAGCACTTTAGGGTTATGAAAAGACAAGTTGTTTTCATGCGTTTCTACCTTTACTCTCATCTATGAGACATTAATTTGCAAGTTTCTTAATTCAGACACTGCCATTGTCATTGACTTTGCATCAATCCCTCACACTGAGCATACATGCAGAGCCCATGGAGAGAAAAAACCCCTTTTAATAAGAAGAAACATCCAGCAGAATCAGGCTCAGTGTGAGCAGCCTTTTACTGAGGCCAATGGGGGGTTCAAGGAGATAGAAGAAGACATACTTTTGTATTTCAACATATAAGCACTGGCCCATGAATATTCTCTGTGTTATAGAAGGTCATTTTAATCTACTGTAGCTCCTTAAGTTTCTCTGTCTAGGAATTAATCAGTTAAGTGGATGAGCTCTGGGCTGGTTTTAAAGTTAAAATGATGAATGAGAGCATATAGTTGAGCTGAGCCCATAGCTATGTCTAGGAGTGAAATAGGACTTAACAGTGAAAAACAGACCCAACTCTATCATCTGTAATCAAAGCTGTTGATGGCAGCAGCCCAACTGATGCCTACCTCCAAGATGGTGTTACAGCTAAACAAATTGCCAGGCCAGATGTATACAATAACAAAAAAGGCAGAGAGAAAATAAGGTTAGAAGTTGAACTAATAGTTAATGGAACACTGTAGAGATAGAACAAAGAAGAATGATAAAATAGGTTTCTATGTCTTCCAGTAACCTAAGCTTATAGTAGCATTATAGAGATAGGTTAGTATAACCTGATCAAGTCTGATTTTCAGTTTTAGAAAATAGGAGGGTTTGAACCCCTAATCTTAGTTGTTTTTTAGTGCTTTATACTTGACATTGAGAAATTTTATATCATAGTCTCAATTTAACAGGGAGTGAACCAAAAATAGATGTTTTTTTTTTTTTACTGTCATCAGAATTTTAGATGCAGAATAATCTGAAGGCATTTAATTACATTTGAGAACTTCCTGACAGTAAAGAATTTCAGCAGTCCAGCCTCGAAGTAACGAATAGAAAGTTTTATTTCCACAGGAGACGAGACAGAACTAAAAGAACTGCCTCCCATTCTACTTTACGAAATTATAGGAACCACTATTAAACCTGCAGAGCTAGAGTGACGTGCTCTGTTAGGAATATAAGGAACAATCATATCTCTGATAAAACGGGACTTGGCCATTTAAGGTTTTATATGTGAGAAGGAGGATTTTACATTCTATTCTGGATTTAACAGGAAGCCAATGAAGAGAAGCTAGGATAGGAGAGATATGATATGAGACCAAATGTTTTCCATCAGTGTGACACGTTTTACCCTGATATAAGCAGGCAGGTTTAAATCAATCTATTTTGATGCAGACACACTTTCTTTTGCAGGTCATAGCCAGATCCACCTATAATTATTTCAGGAGCCCTCTGAGCCTTTGATGGTTTACTGCAGTCTGAGCACCGACTGTAATGCTTATGTGATGAAAGGGAGCCATATGTACAACAGGCCTGAGTTACCTGAAAGCTCACTTAGCAGACAGAGAACAGGGAAATAAACTATATCCACATTAACCGAATGCTCATATTCTGTCTACACCAAAAGCTTTAGTTGTACTTGCTCATATTCCTGTTGACAAGGTTGAAAGAAAAAAGGAGGTTACCATGGCAATGGCTCCGTCCTGAACTGTGTTTAGGTTAATCTTGTGACATACCCATTTCATGCCTGGGGGAAGATGACCCAGAGAAGTTCCATAACACTGACTTTAAATTTAAATTAAATTATTTAACACATTTATTCATTTCCAACATGAATCTTTATTAACTGAATACCACTTGTAATCATTGATATTTTAGAGAAAGCAAGAAATTCTTTTCAACAAAGGACCTGCCTCGTTAAATAACGGTCAGGCAGTGGAAGGACAAGGTCTAATATCTTGTTGCCATCTCTGTTTGTTAGTCAGTCTTTCTTTTAGTCTCTTGCTCTGTCTCTCCTGTTCTCAGCTGTGGTTGCTGCCATGCTTTCAGTGAGAGTGCAACCTCACCTCAGCATGTTGCTTAACTTGTCAGAAATAAAGCAGCTCAGAGTTGTGATGGTAACCGCCTAGTAAATATATACTGAGGCATTATTATGAAAATAAACACCAAGATAGACAGTAATTGTCATTTTGTTTTATAAAAATATCTGCTGTGTAATTCAACTTTAACAGTTCTTATACTACAGGATTAGCCATTTTTGAAAATGCTTTTGTTTAACTTTAATTACAGTATAGAAATGTTCATATTGAAATCTTTATTTTTTTCATCACTATACAGTGGGGCAAAAAAGTATTTAGTCAGCCACCAATAGTGCAAGTTCTCCCACTTAATAAGATGAGAGAGGCCGATAATTTTCAACATAGATATACCTCAACTATGAGAGACAAAATGAGAAAAAAAAATCCAGAAAATCAAGTTGGCTGATTTTTAAAGAATTTATTTGCAAAATATGGTGGAAAGAAAGTATTTGGTCAATAACAAAAGTTCATCTCAATACTTTGTTATATACCCTTTGTTGGCAATGACAGAGATCAAATGTTTTCTGTAAGTCTTCACAAGGTTTTTACACACTGTTGCTGGTATTTTGGCCCATTCCTCCATGCAGATCTCCTCTAGAGCAGTGATGTTCTGGGGCTGTCGCTGGGCAACACGGACTTTCAACTCCCTCCAAAGATTTGCTATGGGGTTGAGATCTGGAGACTGGCTAGGCCACTCCAGGACCTTGAAATGCTTCTTACGAAGCCACTCCTTCGTTACCCGGGCGGTGTGTTTGGGATCATTGTCATGCTGAAAGACAGATGATGGAAGGAGGTTTTCACTCAAAATTTGACGATACATGGCCCCATTCATTCTTTCCTTCACACGGATCAGTCGTCCTGGTCCCTTAGCAGAAAAACAGCCCCAAAGCATGATGTTTCCACCCCCATGCTTCACTGTAGGTATGGTGTTCTTTGGATGCAACTCAGCATTCTCTCTCCTCCAAACACGACGAGTAGAGTTTTTACCAAAAAGTTCTATTTTGGTTTCATCTGACCATATGATATTCTCCCAGTCATCGTCTGGATCATCCAAATGCTCTCTAGCAAACTTGAGACGGGCCTTGACATGTACTGGCTTAAGCAGGGGGACACGTCTGGCACTGCAGGATTTGAGTCCCTGGCGGCGTAGTGTGTTACTGATGGTAGTCTTTGTTACTTTGGTCCCAGCTCTCTGCAGGTCATTCACTAGGTCCCCCCGTGTGGTTCTGGGATTTTTACTCACCGTTCTTGTGATCATTTTGACCCCACGGGGTGAGATCTTGCGTGGAGCCCCAGATCGAGGAAGATTATCAGTGGTCTTGTATGTTTTCCATTTTCTAATAACTGATCCCACAGTTGATTTCTTCACACCAAGCTGTTTACCTATTGCAGATTCAGACTTCCCAGCCTGGTGCAGGTCTATAATTTTGTTTCGGGTGTCCTTTGACAGCTCTCTAGTTTTGGCCATGGTGGAGTTTAGAGTGTGACTGTTTGAGGTTGTGGACAGGTGTCTTTTATACTGATAACAGGTTCAAACAGGTGCCATTAATGAAGGTAACGAGTGGAGGACAGAGGAGCCTCTTACAGAAGAAGTTACAGGTCTGTGAGAGCCAGAAATCTTGCTTGTTTGTAACTGACCAAATACTTATTTTCCACCATATTTTGCAAATAAATTCTTTAAAAATCAGACAATGTGATTTTCTGGATTTTTTTTCCTCATTTTGTCTCTCATAGTTGAGGTATATCTATGATGAAAATTACCGGCCTCTCTCATCTTTTTGAGTGGGAGAACTTGCACTATTGGTGGCTGACTAAATACTTTTTTGCCCCACTGTATAGTGCATCTGTAAAGCTTTTTTTTCTCCTGTTTTCCATACAGTTGTTATTTTACACATATATACTTTCTATGTGACAGATCCAAGTTTTTTTTTTTTATAAGCAAATTTAGTATCTCCACCTTCCCTGTAGGTTTAAACAGCAGATTTCTTTAAAGTCTTTGGATTAACTGATTTCTTTATTCAATAGACTCATGGTCAATAATTACACCCAATCTGAGCTGTATTCAATAGTTCTAAACTGACAGTGATTACAGAAAATTAGTTATGTTCTCAAGAGGAGTGATATTTATATACAATACAATACGAAACTTATTTCTAATATAGTCAAATTTAAATTAGGACCAGATGGGACACGTATGAGAGGAAAGATGAGGAATGACAATGATTATGAGATAAGGAAAAGGTAGATAAAAAGAAGATTATTATTATTTTGGTAACTATGAAGAGAACAATGATAATGAGTATGATGAAAGTGTGTATGATTAAGTAAAGGTTTGTGTCAACATCAGTAAATATGAGAAGGATAAACAATGAGAGTGAAGATGATGAGGATATTATTTGTGGGGATGACATCAATGAGGTTGATGAACAAGAACAAGGATGGGTATGATGCAGGGCAGGGCAAAAACAATTTCAAAGAGTGTAATGCATATCTTGATAATCATAAGAATGATTATGATGTTGTAGATGAGGATGATGATAGAAGGAATGATGATGAGGGTGATTATTATGGTGAAGACTAATTGTGGTGGGCTTTTCCTGTCTATGTTAACTAATTTTATTTATCTTAGTATTAAAAAGCACAGAGATTTATGCATTTAACAAATAGTTTATCTATGGAAACCCAAAAAAAAACTCAATCTAAGAGGAGAACACAGAAAAGAATATAATAGAATATACACTTTATTTCTAGTCTAAAATATGACCCATATTTGATCAAGAACTTGCAGCAAATTTTCACATCCAAGATCTGAATCTGACCCATTTCTTCTGCTAACCCTGTTAGTGACTCACATACTGCCCAGTGCCAAGAGAACATGGATGTAATCACTGTTCATGACTGCTCCAAATGGCGAACAAACATTCCATCATGTCTATCCCCCCTGCATCTTTCTGGGTTTTTTTTTGTTTTTTTTAAGACCTTATCAAGTAAACAATGACACAACAATATAGGTCTGACTGTTTTTTCTTGCAACAGACAGAAAATATGTTTGTTTCTGATTCTGTGCAGGTCGACTCAGATAAAGACCTACTCCTGGGATAATGCTCAGGTGGTTCTCGCTGGGAATAAGTGTGATATGGAGGAAGAGAGGGTGGTCTCAGTGGATAGTGGCCGCCTGCTCGCCGAACAGTTGGGTAGGTCATCTACAGCTACTAGAATGCTCAACACAAAAAAATTGATGCATAAAAACATTATTCACACAATCCTGTGAAAGTATACATAAGAACTGAACTCGCATGTTACAGTAACACATTTCAAAGTGTGTCATTGCAACTTAATTGGATTAGCAAACACAAGGACATGCATCAATTATGATATGGGAGGAAAAATTATAGATGTTTTGCAACATTTGAAGAAAATCTTTAAAGCCTGGATTACATTTCTATCTGGCTATCGATTAAATATGCTATAATTTCAAGTTTTAAATCTTCACTGAGCTTTTCAGTTGGATATTTAGGCAAAGACTTCTTAGCTTTATCTCCCCAAACCAAACCTTGTTTTCCATTTGTGTTCATTTTCCTGTGTTGCTGTGTCCACTCCATGACTTGAAACTAGAGGTAGAATGGCTTTCAGTGGTTTTATTTTAACAGTCTTTCTGAAGCACCAGATTTGCATTTATGCATATAGTGCTATAACTCAACACATGTAATCACACAGCACTTTACAGGGACAATTAAATTCAATCTAATCATACAGACACAGAGATAGGTAAAATGTTTTCTATTAAAGTATAACCCACTGATTGCATAGAGCTATTGACAACTCTATCATCTATAACTGGAGGTGCTTATGGCAGCAGAGCACCTCCAGCAGCTGGGGATTTATCTCTTTGGGATAAATTTACAGCCAAACAGGAACAGGCCATCAGAAGTTAGGTGTTAAACTAACAAATTCTGCAGAGTTGGAAAATAGAGGAAGACTGAAGTAGAATGATGAAAAGAGGTCCCTATGTTCTCCAGCAGTCTAAGCTCATGAGCCTATAGCAGCATAACTATAGAGATAGCTCAGGGTAGCCTGAACTACTCTAACTATAAGCTTTATGAAAAACAAATGTTTATGCCTAATCTTAAAATTAGACAGGATGTCTGTCTCATGGATCAGAATCAGTAGTTTTTTCAACAGGAGAAGAGCCTGATACCTAAAAGATCTGCCTCCCATTCTACTTTTAGCAATTCTAGGAACCACTAGAATCCTTCAGATTGAGAGAGAGGTTCTCTGTTAGAAACACAAGGAACAGTCAGATAGCTGATATAAGATGCAGCTTGGTTATTTACCGTAGGCTTTTGCATGTGAGAAGAAGGGTTTTAAATGCTATTCGGGATTCCACAGGAAGCCAAACAAGGGAATCTAAAACAGGAGAAATATGATCTTTCTTTTTAATTTTCATCAGAACTCTGGCTTCAGAATTTAGGATCAGCTGGAGGCTTTTAACAACAGTTTATGGACTTTCAATTGTAAAGAATTAGAATAGTCCAGCCTTAAAGTAACAAATGCATAGACTAGTTTCTCAGCATCACACCTGGATAAGATATTTCTAATTTTGGCAATATTCAGGAGATGAAAGACGGACATTTTAGAAACTTATTTATGGAATTTAGTGAAATCCAGAGCAGAAATAACACCAAGGTTACTATGTTATTATCTGATAACAATTCATGCCATCCAGATGAAGTGACTCGCTAATCAGCTCGTTTTCAAAGACAGGTCCAAAGACAAGAACTTTGTAGTATATCCATTCAGCAGATTTATCACCTTAGCTTATAGTCTTGAATAGTTTTTGACAGCTTCTCTGATTAATTCTCTCCCTGCTTAAGCTGTAAATTCAGGTAGATCATTATTTCTTGGTATACTTATAGCTGCATCATATTCTCTACATATGAATTAAACAGCTGTATTGCAACCTAATACTGCTTTAACCTTCTGCACAATTTTATCGCAGACCAGTCCGTCAAGATTTGTTTATGGGTTGAGGACGCAAAAGCAGAGGCAGGCAGGCAAAGGTGAATTCATGGTTGGTTTAATGAACGGTAACTAAAAAAAACAAAGTCCAAACAAACTGGCAACCAAGAATCCAAAATCCAAAAAGAAAACAAAGTCCAAAAAACAAATAAGAAACCAGGAGTCCAAAATTCAAAAATTCAAAACATGAAAAAATAAGAAGAAAACAAACCAGAAAACCATGGAGACATCAGGGAATCAAAACTCAAGGAGGAAGGCTCAGAGAGACGAAGTTGGAGCATGTGAGACGAAGTTACAGTAGGACCCAGCAAAGATGAACTGAAGAGAGAGGGCTTTTAAAGGAGACAGAGACAAAGAGAGGGCCAATGAGAAGATTGGGAACAGGTGAGGACAGAGCAGAAACAAAACAGGAGCTAGGGAGAAAGGAGAATACAAGAGGGCAGCAGGGGGCAACAAATTAAAAACCTGAAAGACTGGAAATAACTAGAAAACACAACAAAATAATAATTAAACCACTAGGACTAAAAAACATGGAGAACAGTGAAACTAAACACTCAAAAGAAAACATAACAGAACCAAGACTAAGACAGTAACTGAGAAAAAAAACAAAAAACACAATAAACTAAGAATTAAATCATAAAAACTAGGAAACAAGGAGAAAAGCAAAACTGGATACTCAAAAGAAAAACATGACATAAAACAGAAACCTAACACAGTCTTTGGTGTGCATTGGTCTTCATAATGTTGTTTGTTCCCTAATAATCTTTAACAAACCTCTGAGGGATTGTTTAATAATTTCTGAATGAAATTAGATGCACTGGAATATATAAAGGTGTACTATTCATAGGCTGTAAATAAATTAAGCCACGACTTCTTACTTGGGAGATGTGTAAAAAAAAGGGTTGAAGGGGTTTGAGAACTTGCAAGAAAATAAAAACAAGAAAAAGCTATGCTAATAAATTTCTCCTTTTTGAATGATTCACATTTAGTTTTCTTTCCTGCAGGTTTTGAGTTCTTTGAGACAAGCGCAAAAGACAACATCAACGTCAAACAGACCTTTGAGCGTCTCGTCGACCTAATTTGTGACAAGATGTCTGAGAGCCTGGACACAGATCCGGCTGTCACTACAGGAGCCCCCACCACCAAACTGACAGACAGCGCTCCGCCCCTCCAGCAGCCTGGATGCAACTGTTAGTGAGCAGCGTTAGAAAGCTATCAGGGACAGTAGAATGCAGACCATCACCCTGCCAATACTGCCCTCTCTGGACTGCACTTCAAAGCCTCTTAAGTAGTAAAATAGCAAAGGCTGTTGCATTAACTCCCAACTTTATCACATTATATAATAAACAAGTAACAAGGAGTACACTTATTACTAATGTAAAACATAGCATCACAGGTTATTTAGAATTGAGGGAACCAGTATCCTTCAGCTAGTTAGTTTGATCATAAACCAGTTGGGTCTGGCAGAGCTTGAAATAGTTCAGCACTTACACAGGTTGTCCCTCTGACCTTTAATATCTTTAAGAAAACCTATACAAGAAATAGAATCAGTGAGTGCTTTAACACATCTATAAAATCTTCTGTATGGTGTAAATTGTTCTTTTTTGGGGGGTAATTTTTGACTCCTAGAGCTGCCAAATCTAGGATTTATCGCACTAGGCAATGTAGCGGCTTTCCTTTGTGTAACAACTGTAATAATAAGCCTCTGGCTGTGACTGTGCAGTAAGTGAGAATGGATTTGCATGAGTGTGTCATGTCATGTTGCCATTTAATAATCAACTACCTTTTAGGGGGAAAAATGTGGCCTTTCAGCATCTCCAACTCGGCCTCTGTAAGTCCCATTCTAAGTCCTGCTTCCTTTTAGAATGAACCGAGTCTGTGTAACTGATGTGACAAGTTTCACCCTTTGCTGTATGTAGATGTATGAATTCTCTAATAAGTATCTTTAAAGCAACTCAATCCTTATCCTCAGCCTTTAAATGTTTGATGCAAAGAGCATGCTGCCAAAATATCAAACATACGTGCTGTTTGATCTACAGATAGGCCTTACCCAAAGCTCCTCATCCTGAGCGCCATTTCATAAAGCACAGTAAAGCGTATGATAAAAGCAGATGTGTCCTGGCATGGAATAACAGCCATAATTTGATATTCACCATGATTTGTGCTGTTACAGTAAAGCCTTTCTGTAAGAAAAGGAAAATACACCCTGTATGTTGCTTAAAAAAAGTCATAAATATAAACCCATCCTTGTATTTACAGTCTATAATGTGTAAAAGTTGTAACTAGTTTAAACTTTCTAAAAGTCTCCAGTTCATCTAAAAAAATTCACAAAAAAGTGCCAAAAACATTACAATCCCCTTAACATTGTCAGTTGCTTGTTCCATAGGTAGATAAAAATACAAAAAAAATATATGAAAAGGAAAATAAAGATGCATGAAATCAGTTCCAACATTATTGGTGTAGAATTATATTCTGAGACACTGTAAATATCACTCTGTCTTACAGATTTAGGAGCATTATCACGGCATTCGCTGTGAAATGCAATGGGCCAACAAGTGCAATATTTTATGGATGAAATCCTGTAAATAGTTTCCTTTTGTCATCTTGTCTAGCAGCGCCATCTGCAGTTTGTGAGAGAAAATTGGATGTCATGGTTCTGGAAATGTTTGCCCTTTGAAAAGGAGTGAGAACCTGCAGTCACTGAGCGTGATGTGTGATGTTTGTAGTGGACATAAAAGGCTGCAGATGCCGGTCAAAAGGCCTGTTTTTGAAACCATAAAAGATAAAACCAAGATAGATCATTTCAGAACATTCTCCACTGTTAAGTTGACCTTTGACCTTTTCAGCCCCATTAAAAAACACACTAAATTCTCCCAGCTTTTTTTTTTGTTATTAAACTGTCACAAGTACAGAGCAATGAAAATAACTCTCTGCATTTAACCCATCCCCTTGGGGAGCAGTGAGCTGCCATTGTGCGGTGCCCAGGGAGCAGTGTTGGGTTAAGGACCTTTGCTCAGGGACCCAGAGTGGGAGTCTGTGGGAGTGGGGCTCGAACCCAGGACCTCAGGATTCCAAGCTCTATGCTCTAACCACTAGACAGCCACTCCCCTCTTTAGGGGAGTAAAAAAAAAAAAATAAAATAAAAAGCTAACCCTTAGATAATATGGTTACTATTAAAAGAAGTGATGTTGAATCACTTTTTCCTTTCTCAATGTTTTTGATTAGACTGCACCGAGATTCTTGCACTTTTCTCCCATGCTCAGCCTTTAACAGATGCCACCACAGATCATCAATCAGATTCGGGTCTGAACACTTACTTTCAGAACCTTTATCTTATTGCTGTGAAACCTTTGTTTCGAAACTAACTAGTAAAGTATTTGCAGCACTTCATTATTTCCACAACATTGACTAAGGCCCCAGTTACAGCTGAAAAGTAACAACCCCAAACCATGACGCCGCCGCCCCTGTGATACAGTGTGAATAAACTCTTCTGGACATAGGCGTGGTCCTTTTTGGGCCAGACACACCCCTTAGGATAGTTCATCCTTAATAAAACCAGAGCAAAGCTCAAACAACCTTTTGGGACCTAGCATGTGTTGTTGCTACATCTTTCCAAAAAAAAAAAAATACTAATTATGTCCTGTTATCCAACTCCGTATCTCAGTATTGTTACATGTTCAACACAAATTTCCCAAAATTCAGCAGCTTCTTTAAAGTATCTGTATCTCATAGAGGTTTCACTGATCTCTTCTCATCTTGCCATCATTTTGGAGGGGCATGCATTTCTTGGTAACGCTTCAGCTTATGTTCTCCACTTCTCTAATGTCTTGCCATTTTTTTATAGCCATGCAGTGACTAATACTTTTTGAGAATGTGGTCCCTGTGATGAATATGAAGTTGTTTATGGTGCACAACGTTTACTGGAAAACTGTGTACTAGAACAGCAAAACATTATTAATGCTAGAATAGATGGATTTTTGGATGCCAGGTGCAATGTGGTCTTTCATTCTTAACAAAGCCACATCGGGTATCAAAATCAGAATTCTTATAGGTTTCTTTTTCCGAATATAACACAGTTTTTATTGTTTTCAAATCCTAAAGGTCACATCAAAGGAGAAGCTCTGTAATTATTTATCTTGAATGCTTTGTTTTACATTGAAAAACCTGCCACTTTAACAGGGGTGTGGACCTTTTATAATTGTGTTTAATGTGTGATTGGGTGTGAGTGTGTGTTTACCATACTAAAGAGACAAATTAGAGATCTATTGTGTATTGTTTGTGTATACCTTTTTGTACCAATGTATTTGCGTACTGTTTGCTGTTCCTGCTAACTATTGGGTGTCGACTGAACTTCTGTTATGTTAAAATGCAGTGTTGTTGTGAAGATAGTCAGGGAGATAACATAGTCCATGCCATATGCTGTACTGTTAACACTAAGGAAAAGGGATACACTTAAATGTGCACACAGTTTGTGTGTTAGCATCTGTGTACATGTCTTATGAAATAACTTTTTGAAATACCTTGTAGTGCATCCCAAGTAAAGATTCATTTAATAATAAAAAAAATAAAAAAACAGATAGCCAATCGGATAATTTAAATCTTTAGAAATCCTGACCTATAACTGAATATATTTCTTGGAGTGCAAGCAACGTAAAATTGTATGTTTTTGAGATTATAGAAAATAAATTCAAATTCTATGACTTTGTTTCTGGTTTTTCTTTTTTTTACACTTTTGCACACTAGAGTGTGCCAGAGGACAGTAAACAGGCTGCTGTATTTTTCACTTGATGCAGCAGGGGCAGAAAAGGTTTTTTTTTTTTTTTTTTTGCAATACAACAAGCTCCACCTAGAGGTTAAACTAATTCTTTCCAGGCTGTTGTTTATATAGTCATCATGAAAACATCTTTGTTGGCCCCTGGTCTTGTTGGACCTCTCTTCCTTTCAGTGAAATATGAATGTATAGCATTCAATTTTCAACTTGTATCAGAATAATACATATTTGCTCCAATCTGTCCTTCTCAGATGACCCCAAATTAATGGTAAGGTCTTTCAGAAACAACCCAGGAACCATAGAGGTCCAAGCGATTAATTAGCTGAAAGTCAGAAAATCAGCATCAGGTTCACAAAAATGGATGTAGTTTATTTCCCATCAGTGTGGACTACAGGGGTGCCTACTTTTATTTATTTTTTAGTACTGAAAAAAAAAGCTTTTTTGGCAACATCACAAGATCGAGGTTTAGAAAATAAAAAAAAAATGATGGTACCCTTCACCATTTCTGGTTACTCTTTAAAACAGCTTTCTACAACAGTGTTGTTCAAATCACCAGAAATCAAGAATGGAGGAATTAAAAATTCTATGTAATAGCTTGGGCGGTTGAAACATGCACATTTTAAATGAAAATATGTGAGGGTTCAATTTTCACAGATGAGAGGTCTTTCAATAATGTTATAAATTAGAACCATGTAAAAAATGTTTTTATCTTTATCAACTATGATAAAAAAAAATATTATTCTAAGGTAAATCAGACTAGAAACATTTAGTGACTGTTATATCACACCAGTCTACATAAAGCAGGAATGAACCATATTCTGTTCTTTGGGCCATTTCAAAAAGCAGGTTCACTGAAAACTATCTTAAGTCATACAGTAGTAGCTGCTCTTGTCTTTGAAGGAAAATTCAGCTGGGTTGCTGCCATCGAAAACCCCAATAACAAATGATTAGGTTTGGGCTGTTTTTTCAGTGCTTAGTTCTGTTTCTCTCTCAGAAATATGGGCTCAGCTTTCACTGTGACTAACTATATGTCTGGCTGTCATATGTCATTAAAAACATGAAAAACAGCTCATCTGCTTAAATGCTTTTTTTCCAAGACACAGTTCTCTGGAGTTGGTTTACAGTTACCTTTTTTATGCCTGCTTCTGTCTCCTTGAACCCCAGTCGGCCTCAGCAGATGGCTGCTCACACTGAGCCTGATTCAGCTGGAGGTTTATTCCTGTTAAAAGGGAGTTTGTCCTCACCACTGCCGTTGCAGCTATGCTTGGTTTGAGGGATTGCTGTAGAGTCGGTAACACAATGTAGGCAAATACCTGGTATTACCACATGCTCATCCAGGTCGAGGACATCATGCAAAGTCAATAACTCGATGCAGTCAGCTGGTTAGATAGAACACTTTAACGTATCTGTATTATCTGATTGAACTGTCTCCATAAAGTGCCTTGAGATGATGTGTTGTGAATTGGAGCTACAGTATGTAGATAAACAGAATTGAATTTGTAGTTTTTTCAGTGTAACCTAATCAGATATGTTAGGATCAATGGTTTACATTATTTTTTCTGTTTCAAACACACCTTAAAAATAAAAAGCTTATTATTAAAAGCTGGATATGACCAAATCAATCTATGCTACTTCTAAATAACATACTGCTACTTTGAATGATCAAATGATTGTCAGATTATTAAAACCACGTGAAGGAGTCAAAATGCTACGAATACATGTTGAGACAAATCAAAGGTTGGATTTTTCAAAAATTTTAATGAGATTATAATGCTGCAAAAAGACTAATAAAATGTAATCTTAGACCAACAAAAGGGGCCTTAAGATAATAAATTAATAGATAAATGGAATAGATAGATGCTACTTTGTTGATTTCATTTACTAATTTGTTTGTCTTTGCTGCTTTAAAAAAGGTTTCTAAGAGAAATGTGAGGAAGTCATGGATTAGTACTTGAAAATTCTTAAACAGTTTGGTTACTTTCTTTTAAAGAAAAACTAAAATTTTTGATTTTTTTAAGTCCGCAGATTAAAGGTGTTTAAATTTCAATTTATTTTTTGTAAACATGACCAATGGGTAATTAAACTAGTGAAATAAAAGCTAATTGCAAGGCTTTTGCACACTTATTAGGAAGGGAATAACAATAAAAAAAAAATTGACAAAAAAAGCAAGCATCCAGTAAGTAGGCAGAATCAACCCATGCTTTTATTTATTCCATTGCATATAAAAACTTTTTTCATTCTTTTTTTTTGTTTTGTAGATAAAGTATGTTCTACAGTGCTATCCAATAGACTGCGATTAACAAGGAATCCATTAAAATAACATTTTAATTGTCCTGTGAAACGTCCAGACAAGTTGGCATTCTAAAGACATAAGCCAAAAAAATAATTGTCCTTAAGACCGTTTTTTTTGTTTTCGGAAGTTACAGTTTGTGTTTTCTTTGCACTCCATAAAAAAATAGAACACATAATGAGAAAAGAACCCACTATTTCCATTGGTCCAGGGCTGTTTAAAATCTACAGTATGTGTGTCAAAATAAGCATCCTGCTTTCAGGATAACGATGCAGTTCCCCCCACCCAGTCCCTAACCCCTCTTCTGCCCAAGCAGAAACATGTCAGCGGTTCCGGATATTGCAGGTAACTTGAGTGGAAGTGTGGCCAGAGCATGGACCAGCAACACACCGTCAAGTATTTCAGCCAGAATTAATGCAGCATTGGCTGAACAAGCAGATGTGTCCCAAAGCCTCTGTGCTTGGTATGGCCATAGTCGAGCACCAACTGCACACTGCTGTAGCCATTCAAGGATTTACTTGTATATAAAGCTGTGATCCAATCAGAAATCATTCGACAGCTTTGTGTCTGTCAGTGTAGAGGCAGAGTACAGTGTAAGCTGTTCAGACCAGGTCTACAGCGAAATATGAGGCTTTGACATCCATCAACAGGCCACAATCACTCACGCTGTGGATGAATGACTTGTGGTTGACCTGAACATCAGTGACAAACTTTTGTCCCCCCCCCCATCTGTGACTAATGAAAAAAAGGCAACTTTTCCCTACAAGTCATCATTCCAAACAAAGCCAAGAGATTCACCAAATGCAGCAAAGGAGAACTGGGGAATTAAAGGAAAAACAAAAGGCTAAAAAATAAAGGATGTGTTTAATTTAAGGCACAGCCCATGGTCCAAGGAACAGCTTCTTAAAAAAAAAACACAATTTGGCTTTCCCCTCTCACTCCTTTTCTCCCCTCCCCCCCTCTGAGCTGGTTCTCACATGAGCGATGAGTCGATCGAGCGTTTTCTTTTTTCTTTTGTTTTACACCAAAGCTCGTGTTAATAAACATTCTCTCAACAAGAGGTACATAATACGGCCACGCCATCACCAAAAGGGATGATAAGAATTAACCATTTACAGCAAAATGCATTATGATAGTAAGAACATTAATAATTATATTTTATATACAGCACAATAAATATATGTTTGTAAACAGCAATAAACCAGAAGATCTTATTACAGGTAAGGGCATCAGGTGAGGATGAAAAAAGAACAATATAAAACAAATAATGGCACCAAATAAAAAGTTAAATAATTTCTTTGAATGGCATATAAGTAAAACAAAAGCATCTTTGAAAAAGCAGTGTGCAGTATTTCAAGTGTTTTTTGAACCTTTTGTCTTTTCTTTAGTTTATATTTTCTAAAATATTGTCTATACAAGGGGAAACAAAAAGTGTATTTGGGTGTAATAACTGGAAAGCTTGAGTTATCTATGCTACAGAGAAACTGTACCACTTCTAGATTTCCAATTCAACAAATAGAAAAATATATAACAATAAATAACTGCTTCGGCTTAGAATAATTTAAAAAAATGTAAGAAAGAAGAAAAGAGACAGTGATGTTTATGCTTGCATTTAACAATGAGTCAGTGTTTGAATGGGTCAAAAATATTAAAGAGATAGGATTTGAATGTATTAGTGCATTTGAATACCAGTGCAACTCAGAAAATTAAAAACTGGATTAAAAAAAGATTATACAATTCAGTATTCACTTTTGTAGCATTAATCCAGATTCTATTAAATGCTGATTGTTTGAGTAGCTTTTTTTGGGTGTTCTGCTAAAAGCCATAACCAACAAAATTAGGTGAAATAAATATGTAAAACAATATATTACTCTGATTAAATTTTTGAACAGAGTTTTTGACTTGAATTGCTGAATGAATTAACGTTTATTATTACAGATATCTACTGAGATGCACCTGTATAAATGTAGAGAATAGAACTTTATTCTAACTATACGATGGAGCTGATTGTCCTGCTGAAAACGAAGACAGTAAACTAGAGTCAATTGCAAGAATCAGATGGTAAATGAATCACAGAAAGTTAAACAGCAGCTGCAGACGTATAAACCAAACCAAACAGCTAAGAAAATAAAACTAAGCTCTCCTAACATTGTTAAAAAATTACCCTACTCATTTTAATCACCATCACTTTTTTTAAACACTTGGAGCAATATTCAAACCTTTAGAAAAGGTGCGTTTTGTATTAACTACAAAGCATTGCATTGTCTCAGGATGTGTTCAAAAGAACTACAGGCAACAATAATAAAAAAACATTTAAGGGCTTCCTCCAGGTTATAAACTATTCCCAAGAGAAGCAAAGCATAAGACCTCAGGTTTCTGCTTTCTTCTAGGAGAAAATGTTGTCTGTAATAATAGTAGCTAGAAAGAAAACATGGTTTTTAAGACATAACCAACTGACTACAAGTATAGTGGTTTAGGGAAATAAATGCTATAGGAGAAAGTGCAAACAGCCCTAACAGCCATCAAAAAGCTCAGCATCAGACACATTTCTCCCTCGACTTCTCTACAAGGTTCCCCTACTTCTCTGTTTGCAAATTTAATTCTAGAAAATATTTGAATCTTACTTACAATACCAATAGAAACTAGAGGTTTAGGACAGTGTCATGGCGGTTTAGATTTAAGCTAAGTCAGGTTATGAAGGAAGACTTCCACATCGTAGATGTGGTTTAAAAAAGCTCCCGAATGTGCTGCAGCAACCAGTCCGGTTTTCAGCAAAACATGCTTTCTAATTCATCATGGAAGAGGGGAGAACATGAGCTAACCCACCAGAAAGATACACCAAAAAAAGAAGGAGCGTCACCAATAACTGACTCTTTGGAGTTATTGGCACTTCATAAATCCTAAAGACACAGGCAAACTTTCAGGCCAGGCTGAGACAAAAGCAAAAAGACAGAAATAGATGCGATGTATGAGCAGCACTGAGCGCGCTATCCGCATCTTTAACTCAAGACTGTAAAAGGGAGGTGAAGTAAAGACACACCACTTCAGTACACATGGGAATGAAAGGGAGATTTTCCTGAGTGCAAAAAAACTTGAAGTACCAATGGGCGTGTCTAAATAAAGCTGACAAGGAGAGGAACTCGGGGTGTGGAGCAGCGCACGCTTTGGAAACACAGACGTATAAAAAACGGCTTTTACAAAACTCAAAAAAATATTCTATAAATAATAATCTGTCATTACTAAGAGGAGCAGTTATTGAAAGGCTGTCCATAACTGCTATGTGTCAGGAGATTTCTCCTCCTCTTCCTCGTCTGCCGCCTCTTCATCTGCCACACGCAGCTCTGAGCAAGGTGTGTCCCCCTCCTCTTCCACATCCCCTTCCTCATCGTCATCGTCCTCCCCCACCTGTTCGTCCAAAGGTATCTCTGTCGATTCAGAGTCCTGTGTGCAGAGTGTTTTTGAGTCAGTACAGCTGTTCTCCTCCTCCTCCTCCTCTTCATCGTCGTCGTCGTCCTCCTCTGGCTGGCTGCCACTGTCCTTTTCAGTGTCGGACTCCCCGTCCTCCTCTAGGGTCAGCTCAAACTGAAACTTGTCCGCTCCAGGTGGTCGAGTGCCGTCCTCCGGCTCATCTAAAGCTGGAGAAGGACTTTGGGGTATAGTGCTTTGGTACCACTCTCTGTTGTCCTCCAACGTGTCCAGGATGTCTTGAGCGTCTGGATGGACAAGGTCAGCCCACGTCTCCCACAAGGGGTGGACTATATAGTCTATGAACCCAACCTACAACAGAAATGATGTGTGGTCATTGGGACCACTGTTACTATGGAAAAAACTTTATTCTGCCATGCTAGAAATCTTACCTGGCTCTTTTCTACTGAGGCATTGTGTTTATCACACATGGGGCTGATCTCCATTCCCCTTTCCCTTTCTCTGTCCCCTTGGCTGAAGAACTCCTCCATGATGCGGTCCGTCCACTGTCGGTATAGCTGAAGAGGCTTGGTGGGGTTGCTCAGATCTGCACAGTGGACCATGTTCTGCAGAACCTGAACATAAAAGGTATCCAATCAGAAATTGACTAATTAAAAAGCAAGTGGTGGGAATCTGTCAATTTGCCTTTAATGATGTCTGACAAGTGATTAGCTGGTCAAACACTTTCAACAAATGCAAAGACTCCCACTGCTTTTACTTTATAAAGGAATCAACTAAGAACATATTCTGATGCAGGCCTTTTGAGCTCAATACATTTTCAGATTTGTTGGACCCAAATATACTACCAAAACACAAAACTTGCAGCCCCTTTTACTTTTATGTAATTTTGGGTTGGTCAGTATTAGACTTGTAAGGGCAAACCTGAGAGGACATAGTAGTTTTTTATCATCAGGAGAGTTCTGAATGGTGCAAAGAGCACCACATCTCATACACTGTATCTACAGTAGCAAAGAGAGGCTTGAAGCTGTAATTAGAGTTAGCATAACAACATTGTGGTCTCCCTGAGGAGTGGATTTAGATACATCTCAATGGTTAGCTTAATGTCTGCACTACTGAAGTTAGCATTACTTCGCATTGTTTTCCCCTCTAAGATTTCAGTCCCTTCCTACCAAAAACCCCTGCAACTAAGTAAAAACTCCCTGATCTGGGTTGCTTAGTGACACAGTGGGTAGCATTGCTGCCTTGCAGCAAGAACGTCTGATTCCCTGTCCGGGGCCTTTTGCATGGAGGTGTGTATGAATGGTTCTTTGTCCTGCTTGTCTCTGTGTTGCCCTGCCATGGACTGTTGACCTGTTCAGGGTGTACCCCATCTCTCGCCAACAGACAGCTTATTTTCCTTAGCATGGCTTTCAGTTTTCTAGACTATGAACATTATGTTGTTGATTAAATCAAATTGGGTTTTTTTTCCTAGATAACTAGGTGCTTTTCACCCTTTAAAGGAACATTGGAAATGAAATAGTGCTGCAGCCTGTTTGCTTTAATCCCTTTCACCCTCTCTGTATCTAGAACACAAAAATACCAAATGTGTTGTATGTCTTGTAGGCATACAATTAGGAGGAGCTGCAATAAACTATGCTGTGATACAATTATCACCAAGTCATATTCTAACAAACCAAGGGTGAACATGTAAGCTTTAGTTTGACTGTTAAGGTAAAAATCTCCACATAAAACCTCAGAATTAGCAAGAAATTAGTTAATTGAAGACTGTGGTCGTTTTGAGTAGGATGTGGGTTTAGAAATACAGTAGAGGATGACATTGTCAGACAGATATTGAAGTTTTCTTTGAATATGTTAGTTAGCAAAAAGGCAATCACAATGCCAATTAATAGCATGCAATCTGGTGTTATTTTAATGCTCTTTAAAGTTTTCCAGCATGTGCATTACTTGATTTTATAGACTTGAGCATAAGATCAGATTTATTGTCAGAGATTAGAGAAAGTATTGATTCCTATAGCTTGAAGCTCACCTGTATCCTGTCTGAGTAATTGTCCAGCAGCAACACACCAGAGCTGGTCACTTTCTTCGTTTCTACCATGGTCTTCAGGTCAGCCAGCAGATTCATGTGTTTGGACATGTCTGTTGCTAGCACCTTGGAAGACCAAGAAAAAAAGTAAAACACAGAAAAAGGTTTGGCTAAGATATTTATTTTTCCAACAAAATGGCAATGTCATGTGTGTACAGTTATTCTCAAACTTACGATGTCAATAACCATCTTTCGCAGTGATTGTCGCTGTTTTTTGGTCAAGTTTTGGAAGATGTCACAGTTCTCCTCTTGCAGTAGCTTGAAACCAACTGCTAAGTGGTGGTTCTCCAACACGGATGAGTCGTTGTACATCAGGGCTAACTCTGAATCTGCGGGAAAGACAAAGTAAGTTGTGTCACACTTTATAGATACTTTCACTTGCAAGTTTAAGTAGATAAAACTGCCGTAATCTAGAATGTTTAAGCTCAACTTCATCTTTGGTTGCTTCATTAGAACACATTAACAGGAAAGAAGAAAGAAAATCTTCTCTGTTACTCTTTTGGTTGACAGATCAGCTGGATAACAATTCCTTTATTGCAGGGATTCCCTATTTAGGCTTTCGGGGACTCACCACACAGTTTGTGTATGTTTGTGTGGTGTATGAGACTGCACTATGTCTATTCTGCGCTGATTAGTAATGCTCTTCTGCAATATTTGCAATGGCCTGCAAAATGGCTGTTTAAAGCATCAGTGCCCAGTGGATATAAAGTCTGTGTTTTTGGTATAAATCACCCAATTAGGACGGGATCTCAGGCGCCCGCAGCCACGATGAGGGTGAGTCAGTTAAAGAGGCATAGTAGGGGGTGAGAATGTTGCTCTGGGACACATTCAGTAACACAGCACCATTAGGCCTCTCTCCATGGTTCTTAGCTAAGTTGACCCTCTTCCACTTATTTGAACTGAGTCAAGCTGGTTTTACTTCTCTGGATCCTGAGGCATCGGCATCTCCCTGTTGTAGTTGAACCTTCACTTACTATTATGGGTCACTAGAAATATCAATATTTAGTTTTTCATTGTTTAAGGCCGCATTTACACACAAATAATTGAAACTTTCCTCATTAAACATTATTACTGTCAAAACTATTAATGTATATATTTATGTTAGCTATTTATAATTCGTAAAGAGTGTTTTGTTACTTTGCATCGAAGTTGATTTATGGTATGTATAACGTACAAGGTGTATGAACACAATTTAGAAGACACTGTACGAAATAGTTTACAAAGCAGGTCAATTAACTTGATAAAGCATGAATTTTTTATTTTTTTTTTTGTTACCATGATGTTTCTGCTAGAAAAAATAACTCTTTGCACTTACTTGTGTTGATGAGAAACTGATTTGAGACTCCAGGATGGTCCACATCATGAATTGCACTGGCAAAGATGGCAGCAAGGATCTCAAGGTCTGTGAACACAGCCTGGCAGGAGAAAGAGCAGAGCACGGGCAAAATCAAGGAAAAAGAAAATGAAGTAGACTTCGGATGAGGTGGTTTGATTTCATAACATTGTGAAAGCATGCACTGTGAGTTGGGAGCAGATGTCTTAGAATGAGACTTACCTCAAGGGCAGGGGTGGATAGCAGCACGTGAGTTGACTGGGTGACGTCAGCAGCATGGATGTTGTTATGGTAGGCCACATCGGCATGATAATGGTCTTCTAAGGTCATCAGGTATGTTATAAAGGTGTCGAGTGGAATTTTGAAGGTTTTTAACAAGTCTCTCTCCTAAAGCCAACAAAAAATAGAGATCAAGAAACGATGAGCATTTTTAGAGTACAGATGTTTAAATTATTATGAGTATGAGATACTTACTTGAAATATTGTGTACATCATGACTGTCAGTGGTCGATTCCCAGAGAATTCTGAGATTTTAAAAACATTAAGGCCCCATTTATTCACATGCTCCAGCTCCTACAGAGAGATTTAGAGACACAGTTACAACATGTTGAAATGTGTGGCTTGCTGAGGCTGTTTGTACCAAATTTCTTAGAATTAGAATAAATAAAACACACCTTTGCCAGCTCATCCTCAGTCTCCGTCTTGACGCCGAAACGAGGGATGTTGGAGTTTGTGAGGCTGGAGGAGTGTTGCAGCTTTTTCACTCCGCTGATCTGAGACATGGGCTTGTTCTTCTTCTCCTTCTCCTTCTGCGTCTGTGGGGACGGCATCTCCACCTCATGTTGCTTGTCTGCACAAAGAAAGGGGAGTTGATTGCAAGAACCAAGCAGGAGGGTTTTGCTTTTATTTATTTAGGTAATTCCTGAGTCACCACTCACCAAGGAACGTGCTGGAGATGAACTCAGACACTTGGTTCCCAGAGCGGCTCATCTCGGATAGGTGAGTCAGCTCCCTATTCAACATCCTCTTAAACTAAAACAAGGACACACACACAAAAAAACAAAAACATTATGGCTCTGACAGTTTGTAATACAGAACCAATGCAACAGAAGTTATTGCTTTTCAAGATGCCTCGACAATCTGAGTACAGGTGCATCTCAGATAAATAAGAATATTATCAAAAGTGCTTTACAGCTGATTAAAAATGTGGCTGTCATACTCAAAAGATTTTATTTCGCTTCATTTTGATTATTCTTATTTAATAATTAAAACCCTAAATAACTTCCCCAGTTCAGAGAATAGTATAAAAATGTTTTGTTGATTTTTCTTTTTTTTTTTTTTTCACTGCTTTTTCTACTGCTGTTATTTCCTCCAACATTTTATTTCATTAGTAGGTTTGACATCAAGCTCTCTGTACAGCCAGCAACTCCAGTCTACACTTCTATTTAATAACAAAGAAAGATGACTCATTTCACTTTGTTTGTTCTCAACATATGTTGAGGCATTGGTAGAGAAATGCCTAAGAAACAAAAACGAATACTTCCAATTTTATTAGGCATAACAATATATATAACTGAATTTAAAGTTCAAGAAATGTCCAGCTTTGTGCCAAGGGCTGCTACCAAAAGAGTCATCTTTTCTTTTTGGGCTTAACTCACACACTTAATCTCTTCAATGCCACACTGCCAGCCTCTTTCTCCTACTTGGCTCCCGTGGGCTGTGCGCAGCTATAGCAGTAAACGCAAATCTTTTCCTAATTTTGGATTTGGAAATCCAAAAAACATCCTTATCTAGATGAGAATGTTTTAACCCATGGATTTTCTAACAAGGAAGCAAAAACCCAAAGATAAAATGATGTGCATTGACATCTATGCAGTTCACTTAAACCTATCACAGCGCTGTGATGTAATTTTAAGCAAAGGTCTGCGCAATTCTTAAACCAGGCAACATCAATATTATCCAGTGGCTTTGTGAGTTAAAAGAACAGCTCAAAATAGGGGAATGGGTTCAATATTTCAGATAAGCTAAGTAAAAAAGCAGACTTCTACAGTATGTTTGAAAAAAAAAAAGAAATCCTCATTACGTCAAATCAGAGCTGCCAACCTGAAACCCCCCCCGGACATCTTGCATTTCTCTTTCATTCGCTAAACCAAAGATAAATAACCAAGCTTTTTAAAGTTTACAACACAGAGAAAATTACCATATTTTTTAATCCAAACCTCATTAAAATGTATTTTCTAAGCTTTACTCTTTTTATACATCATCAGCTGTTCAATTCAAGGATACCTCCCAATTTATAGGGGATCCAGAACAGACACACCTACAAAGCATTATTCCGTGGTCGACATGTTGGTGCTGTTCTAAATATAGCAGATTTTGGGTTCATAAAAAGCTGCGAACATATTTGTCTCAACCTTAAGCCTGGACAAAAACCACATGCACCACTCTGAGATGAATAAAGCAAATATTGCTGCAAACAATGTGAATATTTAGCCTAAAACACCCCGTCAGAGGAACATTTCTTACCTTTATGTACCCCCAGGAAACAGAAAAGAGATAATTTGCTTCGGGCATTTTGACAAGTAATTAAAGTAGGTCCAGAACCAGAAAGGATTCAATTAAATATCCTTGTGAGGTGTTCACTGGGAGAAACCACCGGAAAAAAAAAACTGTAGAATAAAATTACGCCAGGCTTCTTTCTAGTAACAAACATTAACCTTAGGAGCCCTCAGACCCTAGCATAGAGTTGAACAGAGTCCACAAATAAAGCTGCATGTTCCTGTCCTGTATATATCCCAACACTTGCGTCGCTGTCCCAGAAAGCAGAGAGAAAACATAGATTCTGGAGGACAAATGGCTCAAACCAAGCTCTCAAAAGATCCAAACAGAGCATATTGAGATTACACACACACACAAACATTCAGATATAGGGACACACTGCTGGTGCTTTGAATAATTGATGATGGTGCGGAAGCTTGGTATATGCCAAAGCAACAGGACAGCAAAAAAAAAAAAAAAAAAAAACTGAAGAAAAACTGTGAACTCCTCCCAAACAGGGCAGGATGCCTGCCTCTGTGTGTATGACACACACTCCTGTGTTAGGAGCACAGGCTGTCTCTCTTACCATGTCACACAATGGCAGCAAATCAGGATGCAGAGAGAAAAGGAGTCTGAGCTCATCATCACCCCTAATTGGCTTGGATTGGAGCAGACCTGAGAGTACCTGCTGCTTCATTGGCCACCATTGAAGTCAGTAAAAAAAAAAGAAAAACATGCGTTCCCCTTTTCCTTTAATTCCTACGGAGCAGTGGGATGTTGTTTTGTGCAATGTGTGCAAAAGGTATTTATGTTCTGTGTTATGACAGTATGTGTGCTTGTGTTTACAAATGGCAGACCTCACCTTCTCTTCAGTATGATGTAAAAGTACAGGTTACCTCATCCAACGTTTTGCAGTGATAACAAAAAAAGACGAGGTCACCCTTAACCCGAGTATCCATGAGGGTTGAGTCATGCTAGCCTCATTGATGAGCTGATGTAAATATTGGAAAAAAAGAGGCATCGATCTAATAAAAAGCAAATAAGCGTCATAGTAATCTGGAGTGGGCTTGACAGTAAAGAAAGGGACCAATGTGTTTTTCGTTATGTCTAAAAGGCTGTTCATTAAAAAAAAAAATGAAGTTAAAACAAACAGGGACAGCTTTAAATTTTCTATCAAAGTATCCTGATAAGATTATCTAAAATAATATTCTATTTGTAGCAATTATTGATATGAGAATATTTTCTTTTGACCAAGAACCTGATTTGACAGATTCAAATTTATGATAATAAAAATGAACAGATAAACGCATGATAAAACCAACCATGGGAACTTATTTATATATTTACTGCGAAGTCTAACTCACCCTGGGAACAGTTTATTTTTCTTCTTTGCAAATAAACATGCACTGTTTAATATCAGGGCTTAAAGGTAATTAAATTACTGTCGAAACGTAACTTAATCATGAGGGAGAGGATCCTAAAACAAAAAGCAGAGTGGGACTGGTCTTTGTACAATACTTGAATACAATTTCAGAAAAAGTTTGAAGCAAAAAGTGATAAATGCAGCTATATCATGACAGCAGGAATGTATTAAGGCAGTCTAAATAAAGTGTACTTTTCTCACAATCATGAGAAATAGTCATAGGAACACAATAACAGACACCAGCAAAAACATAAAAAATGTATTAATGAAAACTTGAGTTTTGTGACGTTTTAAGGCTCTATTTGCTAATTTCTTTGAATCGAGATCATAAAAATCTGAAATCATGGAAGAAACCAAACTAGCCCTTTATTTGTTTTTGTTTTTTTAAGCAGAAACACTATTTAGATAAATGAAGAGCTTTAAGAATCACTTCCGCAAATCTCGATATCTCCACATGAAGAAGATATTATGCTTTTTCTTATAAAAAAAATTGACCTTTGAAACTTACTTTAGCTGTTTTTCACCTCTATGTCCTCTTTCATTAAAAAACATCTGCTTTACATAAATCCATAACCATGTTTAAATCTTTCTCCTGGCTCTTTCTGTATGATGAGCCCATGAGTAGCATTACTTAAAGGGACTTTTTAAAGCCAAAAAAATATATATTTTAAAAAAGCTTAAAAGCGAGGGGTGATTGCCCTCAGAATGTGTAGAGTTATATTACTGTATAGGACTTAAACCATCCTATAATTAAAATACTTTATACAGTACTTTATGGGTCCCAAAGCAAAATAAGTCTGCCAAATGTTGCAGATTATAGGAACCATCTTCATTGACTGTTTTTGGTTCAATTTGCATGTTTTCTAAGCCATAACAAGGCTCTGTTAGGCTCAACGCTACTACAGACATTTTTAATTGAAAAACTTCCTGGATGGGAAGTGAAACATCTTCAAATTAGGAAAACAAAGTCCAGGGGTTTGTTTTTCTTAAACTTTTTTGGAGTAAAAGGAAATTTTTAGCCTTATTCTTAATTTATTAATTCCTATTTAAGAATTTAGATAAATGTTCTTGTACTATCACAAATGTTCTTGTACTATCACAACAAATTAAGTCATTGTTATATCGTAGCACATTATTCCAGTATATGGATTTTCCAATGGATTGTTCAAAATAGGGCTGAAACAAGTAATTGGATTAATCGTGATAAACCGACTATTAAAATAATCGTCAACTAATTTAGAAATAGATTAAATGTTAACTGAAGTATGGAGACTCTAAAACATGCCTTTAGCTGACAGAGTGACTTGCCTTGAGTAGCAATTGTACCAGAATTGTTAGAAAATATACATATAAACATCAAGTGGAAAAGATTTAGAGTCACCTCGTTTAATTTCGCAAAAATTCTTCTTTAAAGAAACTTTTGCAATCCAAAAAAAAACATTCGAAAAACTAATCGACTAAGCGCCCTTAATTTAAAACCAGCTTAACATTGCTGCTGTTTTTTTGCTTTGCTTTTTTTCCCTTGTAAAGGCACACACCTGTGGTCATAAAATGTGTGAGCAGGAAGTCCTGTTTTTTTATTATTTATCTGTATGCATGCATGCATTATCTATGTAATAGCGGAGAGGTTGCATGGATTGAAAAGAGACGGAGCATGTCTCTGCTTACTTTACACCCATACTCTGCAGCCAGCCTGGTACTATGAGTAATTTACAGCTACGCTGGGCAGATGAGACCACCTGCTAACTGACATCCAGAGTCTTTGTCTAACTCAGATCCAAGCAGGCCAGCACAAGCTCTCTTTCTACACACACGCCCACACATACACAGACAGACTAATAAGCATCCAATTTAGCCCAAGATGAATAATATAGAAATAACGTTCAGAGACACCCAATTCTTGTGTAACTCACTTTCACTGTCACAAAGACACACACATACACACCTACAAAGCACTAGCTTAGTCAGGAGGTGTGAACAGAGACTATTGGGTAAAAATTGGAAAGTGTCACACCTATCTTAGTTGAGACTTGTGTGTAATTTGTTCCTCAGTGGAGGGACCAAAAATACCCATTCCCTGCTGTATATAGCCCTCGACACCTTTGTGTTTCTGTTGATTTTTTTTCTCACGTTCAACATTTAATCTGGCAGCAGACACCCCCATTCTTCACAACACAGACGAACTGCAGACACTGTCTTCAAAAAAAATACAGCTAACAACATTCAGATCTAATTCATAAAGTTGCTATTAGAATTAAACATGAGGACATCTATATATAGCAAACTCTCACACACCCATCCATCAACCCATCTGACCGTCTGTCCATCCGTCCGTCCATCCATCCATTGCAGGTAAGATACGTATTAAAAAAATGACATGAAATTTTCACCAGGTGTTCGTAAAACTCCAAGTAATCCATGCAGAAAGAAACCAAAACAAATAAAGTCAGAAATGAAGTTATCTCTAACAACGTGAGATGGCATAGTGAAAAAATATTGACCACACACAAAAAGGGAGGTGGGAAAAGGGATGGAGTTTTTTACAAGGGACAAATTTTACAAGGGACATCTGATGATGAGTAATGCAAGTCTCTTAAGACCTTTGCAACCTTATGACATTTTAATGACATTGGTTACAGAAGGATTCAGAAAGAATAAAATAGGGACATTCTGATCCAATTAAAAATAAATACAAATAAAAATGGAAAAATAAATTTAGGGCTAAGACAATTAATTGGATTAATCATGAATAATTGATTATTTAGACAATTGTCCACTAATTTAGTAATTGATTAATCTTTTTTTTGCATTTAAGACAAATAAAACTTTTTTGTCTGTCAATATGTTCTATCCAGAACCCCTCAAGTGGAAAGGTTTTAGTTTCACCCAGTTTAATTTTGTAAAAATTCTTTTGCTAACCTTCTGGAACCCTTTTGAACCTTTTGCTATCTAACTATTTATCAATTAATCAAAAAAATAATCCACAGATTAATCGAACTTTCATAATAATAATATTATTATTATGAAAGTATTTGAATAGATCTTCAATAGATATGTTTGGTAACTTAAATTTAACAGGATCCAAACTGTAAGCCAGAAACTAAGTAGATCATGTTCTGTGATGCTAACTATCAAAAACCATGGAATGGTTTTTGCTCTCATGGCTTGTAAAACTGTACAATAGGCCATTGGATCCATACTTTGGGGTGGAACCCACACTTAGTGTCTGGAGTCAACAGGTGTGGACTCAAGATTTGGTTCAAGAATTCATCCAAATAAAGCTGAGTTTGCATACTTAAAATCCAAATATTAGGAGATTCAAAGAGATGTAATTACAATGAACATTGAACCTGTGATGTTATCATTCTAGTTATAAGACTCTAGTTATCAGACTAATTTAAAATGCTGGGGATAGTCAGCTAACACTCGGGGCTTCAAGTCTCTTGCACTGTCTCTTTGTGGGTCACACCTGAAAGGTCTGGGAATCACTAGAGATGGCAATGAATAATATTTTATTTATCACTCAGATCTAAATGTGTTTTAGTTCATTTTATCTCATTACCAAAATAGTAATCTTACAGCCTCATAATCAAAAGAAGTAATAAATAAAAAGGATTTAGCAGTTAAAATGCCTGTTTTTTCCCCCTTTGTCCTCATTTAATGGTAGCCCAAAATAAAAACAGTAAGAAAACAGTGTGCTGAACAAAAAGTGGAGGCATGATATGGAAAGCTGAAGTTAAATACTATAATGCTTAATCTGTGAGAATATAAAAAAAAAAACTAAACATTCAAATTTCTAGACTTTTCAATTTGTCTTTTTAAATATTGTTTAGAACATCCCTGCAAAAAACATTAAAATTTCCTTTAAACTTATGGGTTATGGACTCAATTGCATAAAAAATTAGAAAATAAGACACATAAAGTGTTGAAAAAATTACTATCACCTGAAGTGAGTAAAAGCGACTAATTCTGAAATCTCTCCCCTTTCCTCTATAGGGCGACCTCTAAAAACGGCCATCAGACCTTTTTAGCACACACTGTTCTCAAGCAGAGACAGAGTAGGCCAAATACGCCAAATACAGGATAACTACATTAGAGCCCTCATAGATATATTTATATAAATTATTACACTTAACTAGTATTGTAAAGCCAGTTAGTGAGTGTTAAACATTACATGAAACATGTCCTTCATGAGAAACATCCACCATCTAAGTAACACAGCAGCTTTAGAGCTCAATTTGAACCATTGTTTGGGTCTTTCTTGGATGTCTTCAAGTCTAAGACATTTAGATAATTTAAAACAACTGTTTTTTTTTTCTGCAACTGAAGTAATATTTATTTAAGGGAAAAAAATCTTGTCTTTATTTTTTTATCTCTATTTTTTCTTTTTTTCTTTTTTTACCACATTAAGAGTTATGTTGGGCACTTATTACAAATAATCAAAAAAGGAAGTCTGCAGGCCTCAAGTTATGGCTAAGGGTAAAGGGATGCATGTGTTACCTGTGATGTTTGAGTATGTATGTGAGATAGTAGAGAGATAGCGGCACGGCTGGGCCTGTGGCTGTTACCATGACAACTGGCAAAAGCTCTGCTGGTGAGCGATGGTGAGGCAGAGAGGTACTATGACTTTTTTCATCTATTTAAGATATCTCCTCATCTCTAAACGAGGCAAAGTTGTGGATGTTCTAACATCAGAGGTGAACACTGTGCGAGTCCTTTGTCTCGTCTGTCCTCGCCGTCTCTCATCATTTCTGGTCTTGTGACATCACGCTGTGTGACATCACTACAGCCCAGTGCTCATCAGCATTCACAGCGAGCGACATAGCAGCCTCCTTTCACACACACGTATGGACATACACAATGGTGGCAACTGAGCATGCTCATACCAGAACTCGCTGCCTGCATGACAATGTTGTCACTAAGATACATTAAAAGACACCAACAGTTAAACTTTTAATGGTGATGTGCGAAAAAGATAATAAAATGTTGAAAACCTCTACCTGAAAAAATTAACACACACACAAAAGGGGGTGTAATATTTGGTTAATACTGAACGGATACTGTAACTACTGCACATATTATACTCCTTGACATTACAGTGTATTATATGCTGAGACTTCTGCTTCTTTGCTTTATTTATCAAGATGCACTGACCCTTATAATTATGCTGCTATATTGAACCTATTGATAACATTGTTGTCAAAGGTGACATACCAGGAATATCATTGGACAGAGATGTCAGCCTTTGGCAATGAAAAATAAATCTCTTATTTCATAAGTAATTTAACAGTGAAGAACTATTAGCAGCACTCTCTGGTGTGAACCATGTGGACATTAAGTGGATATTGAGCAGGAAACTTTAAGTATCCCTGGGGTGTTTCCAAAGTCATTCAGAGGAAGCCCTGAAGTGTAATATGGCATTTAAAAGTGAAGTATATTTTCTACAACACGTAGAAAGTTCAGAAAGTCTGCAAAACTGCAAAAGTGAGTAAGACTGCTCAGTGATTTAATTCTTTTTTGACTAATTCTATATCATTTTATAGCCCTGTAAAGAAACTGGAATAAACTATAATCTCAATCCACAGGTAAAAGGTTACAAAAATATACAATAAGAATCAGCCAATAACAACACCATAAGACTATTATGCTTATTCTACAGTCTGCATGAACACATTTTAATCATAATGCTCTTAAAACTCAGGTGCACACTGGCATTTTCATGGCCCATGAAAATAACTCAGAAAACTCTTAGATCAGCTTCTTTATGTGTTAGAGTAGCTATGTTTTACGCTTGTTCTAAAGACATTTCAACCGAAACTGGTAAATATGTCATATGTAACAAACAGGCATCCTCACCTTGTTTGAGGCCATCTCGCTGACAGAGTGTCTTGTCTGCAGCGTCTCCAGCTGGTCCAGGCACCAGTCCAGCTCCTCCAGGGTCTCGGTGGCCAATTTCTGATAGGCCTCCTCTGCAGGGGCAAGACAGGGGGGCAACGGGTCAGTGAGGGCCCGCTTCAGAGGACTAGCGGCCGGTCCGGGGTCTCCCACCCCACAAACAGTTAAGCTGGGATACCCCGAGTAAACATATGGGTGACTCTTCATACTGAAACAGGTAAGCCAGCTGTGATGGCCTGGGAGAGGGGCCTTCTCTGTCCTTGTATGCCAGCTCACAGTTCAGCTGGAGGAAGCCTCACTGACTTTTTTTTACAAAAAGTTCAACTCTACACCCTAAATCCTTTGTTTTCCTTTTTAATGCAAACTCAGCTGCAGGTCTCTGGTGTTTGAAGCCAATCTGCCACCCTGTGTCAGTTCTGTGTCCAGATGTTAAGCCTCAGCAGATGCTGACACAGACTGGGTAAAGCAACAGCAGGGATGCAGAAACTTATCTCAGGCTTGTTCATAAGCACCCATACAAAGAGAGCTGTATAGAGAGTTTTCTCTCATTCTTAGAAGACGTGTAATTCCAGTCATGTAGAAGGATGAACAACAGTCTGCTTAGCAGGCCCATGTCTCCTTTAGGATGGACGGAGAGGAGACAAGAACGGTGGGAAGAAGATGATCCAATGAGCGCCTCAGAGCCAGGTAGCATCCACAGGAGTCCAGTTGTCCAGCACAGACCAAGCATGTCCACAGCACCATGACATGGTCAAATAACACGAGACATTTCATAGAAACACACGCTCAGCAGCAGGCAGACACACATGTACACACTCACACCAGCCGAAAAAGCTACCCATAACACATCCTGGTTGAGTCTCCTCAGCCCCCCCTGCCAATAAATAACATCCACAGTATCCAAAAAGCAAGTGAGTTTGAGCTGGCGCTGAGTGTCTGTGCCGGATGGTGTTTCCTACAGATGCTGTGTAAATAGGGGGGGTTAATGGGGGTGGGCTGCTGTTGCTTCAGCGTCCCTGGTAGCCAAACGTACTGCTCTCCCCAAGCTGTACCTAAAGCCTAAGAGGACTGCGCCGTGGACGGAGAAGGGTGGCAGATAAAACATGAACTGGATGAAAATAAAAACTAAGGAGAGGAGCCAGAGCTCCCAGCACTGGACGCTGTGTGTGCATGCATACTAATATGTGCTCGGCATACAAACACCACCAAAGCAGAGACAACAATATGGTGAGAGCCTCAGCATCAAAAGCTATTTGCATGATTGCTTTATTGTACTCTTTTAGAAACTCAAACACAGCCCATGTCAACAGAAAATGCTACACCAGTTAGTATCAATACCCCTAATAATATAGAAAACAGTGTTAATACACCCTGACAGGGAGATGTAAAGGAAAATTGAAATAACACTGCAGTTACATTTCATGTAGTCTGGGCAAGAAGAGCGCCTGATGATTACTGCTACAGCTGTAGAAAATTTGTTGTTTTATGAATGTATAAATTACTCAATAACTAGTGTTTTAATGAGACGTTTGCATGTGTAGGTTTTAATGTTTTGAAATGTCGGAATTCAAATAATCTGTAAATGTGTTTTAGATCATATATTGTGTTTAGAAATGACTGCTGCTGGAATCCCACATGTTTACATGACAATTATGTCCCTGCTGACTGTCTACCTCTAAATTGTTGTCATTTCATATGCAAAACTAAGTCCAGCCCCTTTTGTTTCCAGTCCTTTAAAATGTTTCCTACTTCCCTTCCTCTCTTCTCCATACTTTATGCTTCATCCACTGCTCATGTTTTTGTGTCTCTCTTCTTTCAACCTTTCAGTCTGCCTTTTTGTGTCTTCATCTTTCTCCCCGGTGTGGTGTCAGTGGCTTGGGGTGCTACTCTTTCTGACAGCAACTGCACTGACGTCAATGACATTCTTCTCATGCTTAGTGCGACATCAGACACCAGCGCTCAGAGAGGCCACTCTGCTGCACAGACGCAGGGCTGGAGCCAAACTATGGAACAGCTTAACAGAGGAGTCGGAGTGGCATAAGGGAAGGATGACATTCACAGAGCAGTAGAAGGGGAAAAGGTGAGAAAGAACCTTTGTCCTATGGAAGAACATGGGGGCTTTTAAACCAGAAATGGGGATGTGGTAGATCATTTTAACAATGGGCAAAAAGAAACAGTGTTTTTTTTTTTCATTCTTAATAAAGGTCTGATAAGTTTGGCATGCACCTGCATTAAGCTCCAATATTCTAACTGAAACTCAATGCTTTTAAACTCAATCAATATACAAATATCAAGGTTCAAAAGCAGTTTTGCAAAGACGGATGGAGAAAAGTTGAGGTCTCTATAAGAACAAAGCTGGTAGAGATTTACTCTAAAGATTTGTTGAATCAAAACGTGATTCAACAAAACCTTGACTCAAGATCGCTATATAGAAATGTAGTTGATGAAGTGCAGAGTCCTATAAAGATATAAACCATGTATTATTATTTTCCTTCCACTTTTTGATTATAGAAACTTCTACCACTTAAAGCTCTTCTAAAACAACAGTTTGTGGCTGTGCCAATTAAGAAAAAAAAAAAAAAAGAAAATCCCAAGTCACATCTTGTTTCAATAAATGAATAAAAAAAAACCCCTGAAAAAACCAAGATCCTCATATCAAATTACAACTTTATTGCTCCTGGGAAATTCATCATGATAATATTAATTATGCTCCTTTATTGCTTTACTCTGCAAGCCGCCTTGTTGCAGATTTAGTATGCGTTTGCATTATGTTGATCGGTCAATACTCTCATGTAATGATGCCCATGACTCACAGCTGTCACCACTTTATGGCAGGAGCAATAATGGCTTTGCAGCAGTATGATTGTGAGCTAAATATAGCACAATGTCACTGGAACCCCCATAATCAGGTTAAGAATGATTTGGATGTGATTCTCAGAGGGATTCCTTAAATATATATTTTAAATGCAGAAGGTAAACTGTGATCCATACACTACATTCAATGCTACACGTTTTTGTGCTTGAAATATCAGTAATTCATTGTTTTTTGTTTCTTCAATGTTTGTCTTTGCTGACACGATCATCGTACTAAATGAGAGGTGTGAAATTATTTATCGGTTTTGAAGGTTATATAGTGTATCTTGGCAAACATGAGCTAGGTTACAGCCACTGAAGGTGCCACTGATAGTCAAGGGCAAGTCTTTTCTAGTCATCTGATACAGCCTGCACCATGCCCTCTTCAGGAACCACAGTTGGAGAAGGACATAGGATGGGCTCTAAAAGATGATGGCAAAAGGATTTTATGCTGCCTTAGTCAGTAGTGAATATAAAGTAAAGAAGCACTGGGATTCTTTTATGTTGGCACTGATACTGTATATCTGTGTTTGTCAAACTAGCACCTGATCAACCTGATTACAAACGGTGAGATAAGTCAAATGTCTGTAACACGGAAAATACTATGATTTGCTCATAAATATAAATAAAAATCAACAATATATAAGAAACTGTATGGACACAATAGAAAAAAAATATTTTTCTCATGCAACAGTTTTACTGTTTATATTTCTTACCTGTAAAGGTGGTCTTAGTGATGGGGGGTGGGTTACACATGGGTGATCTCCTGTTGTGGTGAAAACAAACAAACAAACAATAAACTATTCTCCCTTTAACAATAAGCACAGTTTGTTAAATACTATGACTTCTGTTGGTTCATATTAGGCCAAACACTGTGACTGACAGAAGCTTAGTGTAAACAAATCACTGAGAGCTATTTCAGTATTTAAAAAGACCAGCAGAGGGCAGACACACACAACTGTGGTCAAATGTATCTGAGAGGACCCACTGGCTGAAATTAATAGATGACATGATATTGACCTCTTGTAATGAACTATTTAAATCTACTAACATCCCATTGTTCTTCACTAGGACCTGGTAGACTGCACTACTGTATTTCTACAGCATCCCACACCAAACCAACTGACCATGCATGATTTGTTATTAAAAAGGACACTTTCATTTTAGTAGGAAGTAAAAAAAATCTCTTACAAGTCTGGAAATCAACTACAAATTATGGCTTGCATCATACCAAGCCTCTCATCTTATTTTGGTACCTAATTTTTTACAAGAAAAAGACCTTAACAACTTACTTATTAGATGCTCTGTCTTGTTGTAGATTAGTCAATGCACCAAAGTTGTTTCGTACAGTTCTCAAGCTTGCAAGAACCTAAACAGGACAACATAGATTAGGACTAAATCAGGCAGTGATAATCAGAATATACAATATCTATATAAATCAACATACCTGTGCAAATGGCGTTACAATCATATCGTCACCATGACTGAAAGAAATGAAGAAAGTGGAGTTTATCTTAAAATTAATATAAAATATTGTTTATAATCTACAATGCAAGTTGTGCTCTGGAGCTGTGATGTTAAGCAGTAGGTAGAGAGCAAGAGGTGAGCGCCATCATCAGGTTTATTTTAGCCCCTATGTACCAACATTTCAGAGAAGGGTTTCATCTGTTGGGAAAAAGCAGCTAAAACTTAACTTTGGAAAACATTAGAAAAAAATGCTCAAAAACCGAACTTGTTTTTATGCTGTATCCCAGCAGGACTGCTGTGAAGTGTGCAAGCTCTTTTGCACCTGTGTCAACATCTCTTTTCCTTTTTACATTATATTCCTTCTCTTCCCTCATTGCTTGTCTTCTTAAGAAAAAGCGCAGATGATCTTTTTTTTTTGTAGATAGACTGTAACCAGTCAACACAGCACTCTCTTAGCTTCTTCAATTTAATTTAAAAAAGGGTTTAAAGATAACTGCTTGTCAGAGTGGATCAAAAACTTACCACCCAATAATTTTGCAGCTTCCTATGAAGCCCTTAACTGATACCATATTTCCACGAGAGGTCCTTAGGCAGCAAAAATTAAAAAGTCCCATCCTTGACTGGTCAGAGAATGAATCATACCCAGAAGGGTAAACAAAATTGATTTAGCAATTTTTTTGTCATACTGACCCAGGAAGCATTTTCACTAAACTATACTGTAGTTACATCAATTAAACCCCATCCATCCATGGGTTTGATTGATACCTGACCTGGGGCACACCAACATGTAGCAGGAAGATGTTGGAATTAAACCAAGAACTTTCAAATTGCAAAATAAATACTCTTACCAGTGCACACAGACACACTTCAGGAAACAAAGACTTGGCGAAGCAGATGCTAAGTTTGCTACTTTCAAAGTCAGTGATGTGTTAAAAATAGTTTAAGAAGCACCAAAAAAATATGAATCAACTTAAAAAGTTTTTTTTTCTACAACATGACAAGACATCTCTGATGTTCTTCCAAGATGGACTAAAACTGACTTATAGTAAAAGGATCTAGTTATGATCTGTAACAAGGATGTTCCATAGAAAACCTGCACAACATATTTTACATGTTAATTACATTAATGTTATGTGTAGAGGTAGACTGATACATCAGCCGGCCGATATGTATCGGTACTGGCTGATACATGCATGTGTTGGCCGATCCATTAGTGCCTGTAGATCATGAATAAAGATCAGAGCATACATTGAGGCTCTTATCAATATATTGTTAATGTTTTCTTTGATTTGTAAGTGTTCCTCTTTGTTTAAATTGAGACTTACGCAACATTTGTTACTATTGTGTATTTTTATTTGTAACTGAAGGGGAAAAAAAATCAACTCTAAGAATCAGCTGTATAATATCGGCAGCACATATCGGAAATCTGATCAATATAATCTCTATCGTCCTGGCCTTTAAACACCCATATCAGTTGATCGCTATACTGTATATGTGTTCAGGAGAAACACAACTATAAACCTTTTGATATTCTACTGCGATTCTTTTGTAAAATTTAGTAAACCTCGGTGGTAACTAAACTGAATATCTAACATCCACTGTTTTAAAAAAATAATCATTCTGAACATACCGTAACTCTAATAATGTGTTATGCATTTGAAGCTTAACTATTTGAAATTTGAAACGGAAATTTAATTGAAGCAATAAAACATTAATTTCTTAAGTATTTTATTTATTTTTTCCAGGATACAGTTACCCTAAAGACGATATTGTCTTTTAAGCATGTCAGCTTGTATGTTTGGCATAAAAATTAAACAAGATTCTGATCTTTATGGCATCTGCTCTTTTTCATGTGTTATAGCAAAAAATGCTATACCAGTAGTGGTAGTAATTTTAGTTCATGTTTTCACCACTAGAGGTAGCTGTGGCGCCTTTGATGCCATAAAGCAGTTCATTTTAAAGCTTTTATTTTTAAGTGCACTGTTTTCTTTTTTATTTTATGGTTTTTATTAGCTATGAGAGTAAAGAAGGACTGATATTTATTTTTTGAGTAACTTATGACAGTGAAAAGTTTCTAATTCTAATTTTGTATTTCTTAGATGCAATTTCTTGCATTTTAACCAAATCGTGTCCCACTTCAGCTCAACACAGAACTATACTTTTATTTTGTTCTTTGAGCGTGCCTTGTATTTCTTGCCATAAGCTACAGCCAATTAAAATAATTAATACATGGAAATGGTAAGTTTGCACAGTATCATCACGCACAGAAATCCCCTTCCTTGGCCCGGTAGAATTTTTTTAGGCTATAGGGAAGATTACCGGTATTATATTAATGTTTTTTTGTGTGTGCTTATTTTGGGTTAATTTTAGTTGAGGACATGAGGACCGTCGCCAGGAAACATGCCAAAGCCCCAAGAAAAGAGATTACTGAATGGAGAATGCTTTAGACTGACAGTCATAAGGGGAACATGATTCAAGAACAGTAGAACTCTAAGCTCTAGCTACGAGAGGGAGGGAGAGAGAATCAGGACGCACAGACATGGGTCACACTCGCAACAGTAGAGTTGTTCTGTGCGCAAGTGGCAACCCTAGTGACATCACTTCGGGTTTTTCATCAAGCTAGGCCATAAGTGATGCAAACGGGCTCTACTAGAGCAATTGAGAAGAAAGACAAGTGTTTTCAATCTTACCGGTTTGTCCAATAGCAGACCAAAGTGGTATGTTTATTATTTTAGCTTGTTAGATTGTATAATTTGTATAAGTTTCAGCAAGTAAACTAATATTGTGTTTTTCTATCAGTTCTACGGTGTACATGTGGTGTAAAGCAAGATACGAGACCACAGTAAACATCAGTTAAAGGAACTCTGCTGTCTTTCTTGTGTTGATAACCCAGCATAAATGCATTTAAATGACTAAACAAACTTTAAACCAGGCTAAATATATGCCATGTTAGATCTGTCGGAAATTCATTTCAAAATTACATTGAGGTACAACTTTAAAAAAGAAATAGATACTTGTACTGATTGTCCCATTGGGTATGACTGAGAACACGTGAAAAAACACAATCATTCTGGTGCTTATGCACACTTCCCCTCAAACCAGTCCTGAAAATATACAGCTGACACAGATTCACCAAAGCAAAAAGGTAAGACATAAGGACCTGCACACAGAGGTGTGCATTTCATTTGGATGCATTTTAAAAGTGTCATAATTTGAAGGAAAAATCATATGTTTGTGCAACTTACATGTCACTGGCAATGGAGGAGTTTCGGGACATGGACTTAGGTGAGAGGTCATAGTCACTGTCAGAGCGGTAGAGAAAGGACTCTCTACGCTGGCTGTGGACAAAGTTGGCCTGCAGGATGAGGCCTGATCCTGGGCTGGCCATCGGGTCCAGGGGGCTTCGACCTGATGCTGTGCCATTGTCCACATCAAAACTGCACATGAAAACAGAAAAAGAGAAACATACGGCATTAAAACATGAGCAGCTTTTCCACAGATTGTCTGTAGGACTTAAACATGTTGATAAAATAAAAAAAACAGCACAAGTAGATAAAAAAATCATGTAATAAAGAGGAGAAACGTTGGTCTCAGTCAATAAAAAGCTAAAAAAAAAAAAAAGCATTTTAAGACTAATGCCACATTTATAGGAACCTTTAGTATCACTATTACCACAATGCAGCAATATGTGTTATCATGATGTGTAAAATCTGTAGATATGTGGCTATGAGACAACAGATTTAAACAAGAAGTGCCACGCCCTGTTTGCACAAAACTCAAATTTGATCATTTAGGTGAATAATTTTTCACTGAACAGTTTCTCACTCATCCAAGAACTTGTAAAGCATTTCACACAGAACCAGAGTGCTTTATTCTAGCCCTGCTCTACTCCACAGGGAATACCTCTGTGCTGATGCTTCTTCTGACTCACAGCTGAGCAGTATTTCTAAATCAGTGACACCACTTCCTATTGGGATGTCATACTGAGCTCCTTAGTCTCCAAGGTGATAGCGAACCCAAGTGATGACTAATGCATATCTAGAGACATCTGCTTCATCGCCAGGCTGATACGCAATCCCATAATCTGGTCTGGGGAGGATACTAAGGTCAACATGGGATTCCCCTTAATAAAATGCGTAACACACACAGGAGTGACGTCTCATCATCATCATCATCATCATCATCATCATCATCATCATCATCATCATCATCATCATCATAACAATCCACTGTGAAGAAGCCAGCGTTGGCCTCCATTCAGCTAGTTTTGAAAAATGCAAAGGTGCGTATACAAGATCCAAAAACAGAAAAGAAAAAAGCGCTGAGAATAAATATACTCTAGATGTGTTCTTTTCTTATGTGCAAAACATGGGGATGGACAACAAGAATTCAGCATAATTCTAAAATAAGAATTTAGCCATCCCCCTGGTTCATGTTAACTCCTAAAATCTACTCCTGGAAATGAACACTACCCTAATTATGTTCAAGTTGTTGTCTGGTTGGGTCATGAAAGTTTAAATGTTTGAGCAGGTAGAATCTTTTTCTTGAGTTTTAACTTTCTGGGTAAATATTCCTGACAACTTTAAAACCTACAAAACATACTAAAAAATACAAACGCATGTTATTGAGTGCTGCCTTCTCTATTGGTCTTAGGTTATTATATAAAAAATACTCAGTTAAAATGAGCTGGTGTAAAAAGAAATATGTATAATACAGTATAATTTTTATGTTAGCTAAAATGTTTGTATTCGTAGGTTTTATAGGTTCAATTATTTCAATGGGTGAGAAAGGCTTACTTGCTGTAAAAAGATATGTTTAAGATTTGACGCTGCAGACACAGATAATGTCGAGTTTATTAAAAGTTCACAGGTATCAACTATAGCTGAATGAATGAAGGCATTCACAGAAAATCTGGATCCTGCCACATTGAAAGACCAAATGAGGCTCCTTAAGTTTGAGTTACAGAACTCTTAGATTGTGAAAATCCCGTGCTTGGTTTGATAAAATGACAAATGATGAGTTATGAAGTTTATGTCTGACTAAACATAAGCTTCGGCTATTGAACAAGGATTAATTCAATAGCCGGAGTCACTTTTTGAAAATATATAAAGAAAAACAGAGAAACCATCTAATTCTGGAAAACTAAGCATTTTAAGCTTGACCATCCCTGATCAGTATGACTTGTTTAAAAATAGAAAATACAAAAATCTTATAGAGGAAAACTGATTTCAATTGAGCTACTTTTACACACCTAAGTACCTTTAATAAATAACTTTTAAAGCTATAGTCCAAAGATAGTGATCACAGTATTTGGAACTGTGGTCACTATCAATAAACTCATTTAGATGGTGGTTGTGGTCCTATAGTACATTGTGTATGTATCAATTGCAAAAAACCTGAAAAAAAATCCATTCACTATAGAGCAGGGGTCTCAAACTGGTTCCAGAAAGGGCCGTGTGGCTGCAGGTTTTCTTTCCAACCAAGCAATACCAAACCAGACTCCATTCATCTCATCAAGTCATCATGTTAAGACTGGACTCACTTGATGAGATGACTGAAGTCTGGTGTGGTATAGCTTGGTTGGAAAGAAAACCTGCAGCCACATGGCCCTTTCTAGAACCGGTTTGAGACCCCTGCTATAGAGGCTGCAAATAAATTAGGGATGTGCCGATACCAGATTTCTTCAAACCAAGTACGATTACAAGTACTTCAACTTCAGTACTTGCCGATACCGAGTAATAAGGAGTAAAGTGCCATTAACTCCTCAGAATTAATTTTAAAATTTTTTATTTTCATTCAGCAAACAGAAATACTGTTTTATTAGGTTACTTGTGTTGTAACTATTAGGGTTTGTTCCTCCCCTTGAAAACTTTGATTTGCATATTTTGCAAACAGCCTTACTTTTGTTGTCCTCGTTCACTTGGAAATATTTCCAAATAGCGAACATGGCTAACTCTCTTTTTGTGTTCGCTCCCTCCTTCTCTATACTCTGGCTGGCGGGTTCTTGACGTCACATTGCGGTCTTCTTCGCTGCCTCAAATGTATGCTAGTATCCGGCCCTGTAGTATCGGTACACATTTACGGATACAAGTACGAGTACAAACACGTGGTATCGGGCCAGATGCCGATACCAGTATCGGCATCGGTGCATCCCTAAAATAAATGATGACCAATGGGATCCATCCGGCCACATGGCTCCAATTGGTCAACCTTCTCCCCCTTCTCTTATCTATTTCCCTCGCCCTAGTTGACACCTCACTATGCCATGCCCAAAAGCTTAGGGTTTTGCCTTCTGCCTTGAAGAAGTATAAGAGAGAAAGAGTAGCAGTTTAACAAAAAGAATGGAAATAGACAGTGATGGCAGCAAGCAGCCTCTTTGCTCCTTGGGTGCTCTAAGGGCGTGTCTGAGAGTCTGGAAGACAGGACAGGGGTCAGGTAGCATGGAGGGGAGGGGTTTGTGTGTTTTTATACTATAACTAACCAGATCCTAAGCATACTTTTTTATTTAGCCCATGTTTTTCTAAGAAAACGTAGATTTTTTTTAAATCGAATGTAATTTAATAACCGTGTAAATAAGTATGTCTACAATTATTTCAAACTGTTATGAACTGTATGCAGTGTCTTCATTGTCTTCAACTTCTGCATCTCTTCTATAAGTATAAGTAAGTTTGGAGAGTGTGATTTCTTCCTCTATCATCTGCTAGAGCAACAGCTTACTAATTGGTTACACAGCCAATCAGTCCACGTGATTTTAACCAATAACAGCAGGACTACATGACGCGTAATATCGCTCTGCTCAGTGCGTCATTGGCTGAAAGGCAAGGAGCGCTTGTGAGCATCATTGGCTGTCCCCGACTCAAATCGAGTCATACAAAGATGCAAATACATTTGTCTTCTAAGTAAGAAGACGATGTAAAGAAACATACCAAATATCGCAGACACATTTTTGAGGAAGTAAGTCTTATTAGAAAGATGCTAAGTATTAGCTCTGACCACCTAACTTTTCTGATGTGAAAAACGGACGTTATGTGGCGATTTTCTCATCATGGAATAGTTTTTTTAATAAATATTCTGGATTACTTTTAATCTGTGGACCCTTATGGACAAATTGAGTTTAAACAATTGAAGACTGGATTTATAAAATGGCTTCTGGACGCCTTGAAAAGTTTTTGTGGCCACTTTGTAATGTTTACATTTTGACATGCTGCTATATCGGTGTAAATTGTGCTTTGGTGCACGCTGTGTCCATAAAATGAACTTGGTGGTTGAATATCAGAGAATCTAAGCTTTACAATGATGCTTTACATGTCTATATTGGTAAAAATGTTACCTTGTAATTTTTTTGCATTGTGACTTATTAGTTGTAAACGCTATAAAAAAAACGGTCGCCGGCGATCGGGTGGGTTTTGAGAGGTTAAAATTTTGTCACAATATTATGATTAGTGCATGTCTAATATTTACACTAGTTATGGTCAAATCATATTGAGCTACATGTTGGCCTGCTCCTACACAGGACAAAAACAAGCTTATTTTCCAGAATATTTAAATGGCTAAATGAGCTCCCTTCTTCCTGTGATCTAACAGATAGGAGGAACTGAGTGAGAGTGATCTTTGGTTTGAAATAAGATCATTTGTCTGCCTGCCTGAATCAACAGGCAACTGTATTGTGCTTGTCCTCCTTTAAAACTTATTTTCAGACAAAAAAGTTGTGCTGAATCTGAAACGCTCTAGTAACCTTTCCTAAAAGTTAATCTTAGGCCTCTCAGGAATCACTTCAAGGAAAACTAAACAGTCTGAAACTCCTTCATATCATCTTCCCTCTCTTATCAAGCCAAGTAATCCTTCTGCTCTTTACTGTAAGTGTAAGAACCCAGGCTTACAGCAGTGACAAATAAGCTGTCTTTTATCACAAGGGTTAGCGCGCTGCGCAGCTGCTCAGTGTGCTGCATGCACAGAGGTATGTGTACGCTGTATGTGAACAACGCAAAGACGACAAACTGACAGACGGAGAAAGTGTCAACACAAAGCTTATGTTAAACATCTGATTGCACTCCATCTGACGTCACAACCCACACTTAGTCTCAACTCAACCCCTGCCACGTAACTACATTCCCACTGGTATCTGTATGTGTAGTTTCACTCCATAGGCATCCCCTCCACCTCCTTTAGAATAGCAATTCATCCTTGGAGCAAGGTTAGCATAGTATTGCACCAGCACTGACATCATTGGAGCAAGACAAAACTTGGTGAAATCAGCCGATAAAGGAAAAAGAGTCACCACCTCTATAGTTATTCAGGAAGGATAATGAGAAGGCCAAGCGATGGCTACTCTTAAAGAAAGGTACTGTTGAACAAGCATTACTTTAATTTTGTAAGTTACAATAAAACTACTGAGGCAACTGGATAAAAAATGCAAAACATAAAATGATAACTATTT